TCAAATATATCTTTGGATTTATCATTGTACATATTCCAGTTTGTTTTATTATATAAATACTTATGTATAGACTCTTGAACTGTATATTTTTGAGTTGAGGTAATGATGTTAACAAAAGTAGGTAAATGATAGCTCCCTAAAGAGTCATCACCGACATACCACTCACAAAGTGGTGCAATATCAGGGCTAACACAAGTAACATCAATGGCTGATGCATTATTACCAGGTCTAGAAATAGTAGTAGGGTCACCAGAATTTAAAATACATAAATCAGCATCATCAAATATATCAAATAATTCACGACCTCTTGAATTGGTAGTATCACAACCAAAAGCTATATTGTGAGCATTAAAATCACCAGATACAAGACAAGGTTTGGGTAATTGCAAAATAATCTTTCTCAAATTAATCAAACTAATTGAGCTATTATATGGTGGACAGTAGACACAGAGCACTGAGACAGGACCACATCCTGTTATTATAGAAATAGCTATAAATTGAATATTTTGATAGAAAGTAGTTTTTAAGACCTTAAATTTAATATCATTTTTTATTAATATACCTACACCTCCATGCTCATTTTTAGCATTTTTTCCAACAAATATATAACCAGGTATATAAAAAGGCAGACCAGAATCTTTTAACCAAGTTTCATTCAGCAAGCACACATCTATTTTATTATCATATAATAAAGATTTAAGAAGTGGTTTTTGAAGTTGTACTTCTTTAGGCGCGTTATGAAAATTGATAAATTTACGTTTGCGCGCCACCTATGACACAAAATTGGCAGTGTATATAGGGTGCGCGGGAGGAGGGAATAAGACAAACTACAAGGAAAAGAAATGAGAATATGCGTAGAAGCTAACTTCACGCATATTCTAGCCTTAGCAGCTTAACAAGAATTTTGAATGACCATGACAATTGACATCTGACAATGACATTTACCTTTTAAACAAATATAGGAGTTTTAATTATTGTTTAAAATTAATAATTATATACCTAGTTATTTTCATTATACAAAATATTTGTGAAATAATATAAAATATTTGTGAAAAAACTGTGCTAACCTTCCTGAGTGCTTCAATACAATTGAGGTTAACTATCCGTATGTATTATCGAGTATTATTGTTGATTAAAACTGAAACATGAACCATTATTCATTGCTTTTGTTTATTGCGTTTGTTACAGCAACTTTTTAGAAATATTCTACGACCCTATATATCAATAATTGAGAACAAAGATTTAAGCACGAATACTAATAAGGAGAAAATGAAGGCTTGGAGCGATATAACAGAGAAGTAAACATTTTAATAAGTACCTGCATCTAAAAAAAATGACCACATTATTTAATCAAAACATCAGATTTAATCTAGCAAATATAAGGACAAGAGACAAAAAACAATTGATGAATCAGTGGAAGTGCACTAAATTGAATACAAAAAAAGAGTGAAACATCAAAAACTGGAGGTGGAACAAAGCCACCATCACCTTCTCGAGACACAATGGATATGGCAGAGATGATACCCAACGGTTAAGTAGATTTCAATGAATTTGATTGTGAGTGAGGTAGGAATGTTAATTATAAATATGATGTATGGTGATGTTCAAGGTTCAACCTTTCAAGCATAGGCATATGCTTACAACATTACTTTTTTTTCCTACAGGGTAGTTAAGAGATATTGTAATACCTCAAAACATCCATGTTGCACTTGTAGTACCGAAACTCTGTCCTGCCAGAAGTGAGCCCATTCCCACTTATAATGGACAGTGGGTATAATACACCTTAATACCTGAGTGCGAACCACTCACCATGATACTTAAATTAATAGATGTTATTTATATATTTCAGGTTATTACAAATAAAATCATTTTGGAAACAATTGATATCCCAAAAGCAAATAAAGCCAACAATGACAAGGTAATAAATCAGTTTTGACATAACTTGAATAATAAAAAAGCCCAAAAAAGTGACAACATAACTTAACAATTTCATTATTTTGTAGGATTAAAGAAAGGTTAAAGAAAATCATGTCGAACTGAACAACAAGAATCCCCAAACAACTCCAAAGAAACCTACAAAGGAAGAAAGCCGGTATTATATTTAAATTATCTCTATCTCTAAATAGAATAAAAGAAAGTTGCTTTCCAGGTCTGTAGCTGTGCTACAAATTATATTATTAACACATTTATATAATTATATTAATATAAATGTGTTAAAAAATTTATAATATGAATTATAAAAAATTTTAAGTTTTGCATGGACAGAGCTTAAATTAATATTCTCTTATTTGTTGCAGAAAGCAAGTAGTTTTGGAGAAGCCTCGTAGATGCACAACCAAGTAATGATTAATTTAAAATTACAAACCGAAATTCTGATGAAGACATTAGAGTCACTTAAAAATAAATAGTATAATGAAATAAAAATGTTTTAAAGATAAATAGTGTTTTATTTGTTTAATGTAAGAGAATAATAATAAATATTTATTTAATTAATTTTTCAAATGTAAACTGAACTTTATTGACTTTAATGGCTCCTTTTCCAGTCTTTGATTATTTAATTGTAATTAATTATTTGCATGCAATCAAAAACTATTTTTAATAATGCCAAAGAAGTATAACTTCTTACGCGCGTACATAAGTACACGCACCCTTTTTTTTTTATTATTGATACTCTGTATGTTATGTTGCATTAATCGTAAATAATCCATTATTTTGTTAAGTTTTGTATTAATATATCCTTAATGTGTGCAGTTGTGTTTACTGTATTAGAATTGCCTAACATAACTAAAGTTTTGATAATTTTACTCAAGAACTGATCATCTTTAATGAGCTGATCATAGGAACCACTATTAAGAGGAGCAGACTGGACTGAAATTGAACTATCTGATGAATTTTGTGAAACTTTTTTTCTTAGGTTGGACAGTAGGTGGAGCTAATTTATTGTGAGCCAACTTTACAACTGATTTATCATTAGGTAACTGAGGAAAATCACTTGACAATAATACAGTTGAATACATTTTAGATGAATAATTATTTTCATGTTTTTTAATCTGAGCTGCTTTTTGAGGACAAAACCTGGATACTGCCAAGTGGTCTCCTCCACAGTTAACACACTTTAAAAATTCAGCTGAGCATTCCTTATAGGAATGACCACCTGAACACTTTGAACAAACCTGATTGTTTCTACATACTTTGGCACTGTGTCTAAATTTCATGCATTTAAAACATTGCATGAGAGGAGGAATATAAGTGAAAACTTTGTAACGCCAGTTGTCTAAATAAACATACTGAGGGAGAACAGTTCCTACAAAGGTACGCCTTATAGTAGTAAGAGGTTCCAGACCATCACAAGTTCTTTTCATAAAACGTCTAACACCAACAATTTCAGAGTCAGCCATTAGTTTGTGGTATAAATCCGCGTTACTGCATTCTTTAGGGATAAAACGAATTTTACCCACTCGCTCCACCGAAGAGGCTGGTACAAAAGCTTTCATATTATTGTCACGTAAGCTAACGTGACTCAGAAAATCATTAGCAGCTGCAGCTTGTTTGAAAACCAGCATAATTTTGGCCGCATTAACTCGACGACATTCCTTAATGCCCTTCACGTTTTTGAATATTTTTGATAAATGCAAAGGATTTTTATTACCTATCTTATCTTCCATTTTAATTCCCTGTACGTAAACGGGAAACTCTTCTATGTTATTATTATCCGGGTAGGATCGCTTATACTCGGGTTTAGAGTAAGGTTTATACTTATCGACATCGTTCGATTTTACAGAGTTATCAAATCGCCTCTTTTTCGAGTCTACGGGTAACTTTGTAGACCCGTCTTCATCACCATCACTCTCTGAAGACATTATTCTCCTCCAAAAGCACTCTGTCTTGAAAAAGACAATTTAATTTAAAATAAAACAAAATTTTATTTGAAAAAACGCGGCTCTCCTTTGCCCGCCAAAAAGGAAGTCCCTGATAGATGACAATGGTCTTTGTGTTGCTATCGTCAAATAAATGAATGAATATATAGAGAAAAAAAATTAACAAAGAATGAAAAAAAAAAATTCTATAAATTATATAACAAAATCTACTCCTCCTTCGTGTTTGATGACGGTTAAAAAATATTTTTACTTTACATTAGATTTTTTATAATCTATATGGCGAAGCTTACACTATGATAAATACGTCACTTCCGGAAGGTACTCGCGGGTTTTTTTAGACGAAATAATTTTCGTGTCTCGACTCTTAAGACAATGTTATGGTATGAACTTGATGCTATGTATTATTATAGAAATAATTTTAGTATACGACATCTTCATGGCTAGAGGTACATTTCCACAAAAACGCTGGTATCAAGCTTGTAGTTAATTTAACATTAGGATTTAGGCTTTTAGGCTGCTGAATTATAATATTTTCCTAGCAGGACAGAAGCGTGAGGTCCTGTATTCGATTATTTTTCGAATATTTGATCACTTAGGGACTTTAAGCTACAGCTTACGGGAATTTAAGCACATTGCATGCACTAATTAATAAATTATATTTTGTTCGATTCGATAAAATCGGGTCCCACAACTGAAAATAACAATTCTTAATATTCTAACTAAAACACTTTTTCTATATTTAAAAAATCTAATTAACCATTTGATGATGATGAAACTTCCATAACAAATCCTTAGAGAAATCAACAGGCGTGGCATTTGTATTATGGTACCTTTTCATTGATCGGTCGCTCTCAAAGCTTTGAAGGTCACCTTGAAATAGCGGGAACGTTTAAAAACCGATATTTTATCCAAATTTCATTGCATGCCGGAATGCACGTCGGACCATCCTATTTTAATATATTTATCGGCGATACAGTCTGATACCAGTACATTTCACCACATTGCGTATACTCACGTACGACATTGGTTATTTGAAAAGCTCATCTCAGTGTAATCGCACGCGAGTTTTGAGACAATTTTTACGTGTTACAACAGATATTTAATGAAATTGTAGTTTTAAAAATGGACGTGCCTGCAAAGGGAAATATTTTAGGCCGTAAGTTTATTATTATTACATTCATTTGTTTAAGTAAATATAATTGCATTATTGTTTTTAACAAAAAAAATATTTTAATGAAACAGGCATAAATAGAAAAAACCTTAAATAACTTATCGTTTTCTGTTATAAGAAGCAAAATAATATTATTTTATTTCTATGTAGCCTTACTCTGTAACTTCTACTGTGTAACTTAAATCTATCCCATATAATATTTTTATACAGTCTATGTAGCGTTTCAGACTGAATTATCAATTGTTTAGCCATTCCAACGTGATTGAAACAATCATTAAAACTTAGATGTCTAAACTATAGTTTATTAATTTTAATACCACTTTTAAAATGTGGTATTAAAATTGTTTACATTATTATTAATCCTTAGAATATATTAATACCGTAATTAGTAATTGTTTAGTTAAGTCATTTGGTATCTTAAATATCTCAATAAGATATTACCAATTTGTTTGAAGCGAAGTCGAAATGAGTTTTTTTTAAATATACGTACCTAGATTCTAAATTTAAGTATCTTTAAATATTAACTAAACTATTTTATATAACTGGTTTATGAAATCTATGTTTAATAATAATTTCATCTATTTTTAATTAGGAGCGTCCATAGTGTATGGAAATTTGGATAAGTATCAAAGTCGACATTAAATAATAGAAGATAAAATCTCAAAAATAAATTGTCGGGATTTCAAGCGAATTATGGCTCCCGTATGTGTACTCCAATACATGTGTGGCATACGGAAGTCTGAAGAATATTTCCATATTAGCTTTTACCTGCAATCGTTCATAAAAATTGTGAAGAAATTTACTATAGACATACATATAGTAATCACCTCTTAAGAGACCGTGAACATCTACGCAAACTTTAACAGTTTTTTTTGTGTATTTAAAATAACAATACAACAATCTTGCTCATAACAACAACGGTAGGTAATTGCTAATAATGATCGATGTTCAGAAGAGTTGTTCGGATTAATGCCTGCAGCTGAGTTTCATCATCGGACGTCAAGGCAGAATACAAAAAAACATCCGTATCACTTTGACGTCCGTCGTTCCACTCACCACCACTATGTGGAACCAGCTGCCCACTGGAATATTTCCGAACCAATTAATCTTAGGGTAAAAAAAAGAGCGTACCGGCAACGCACTTGCGTGCCTTCTAGCAATGAGAGTGTCCAGATGAGCCCGTTTCCCCCTGCTTATAAAAAAAGGTTTAAGACATACCTATATATATAACTCAGGCATAATGGTGTAACTATTAAATCGGTTCTAAATATTAATTTAGCTTAAGGGGGTTACTATAATACCAAAAATAAAGAGACATGCTAGATCAAGTTCAATGACCCTGAAATATCGACATTGTGTCCTCTACGCGTCTGAAGGACGTCAAAGGTAGTATGCAATAGAATCATTATGCAATTAATGTATATGAATCACACAATGCTATATTCAGTACCAAGAACTGATGCAATTTAAACGTAAAGGATTTTATACGAGATACGCGATACTTAGCACGTTGTATAATTTATAGTTTTTCTTAATAGACAAGAAGCCTGCTGTTCGACCTACGACACTGTAATATTAGGTCCTTACATACGAAATTGGCGTTTTGTATGGGAGGAATAAAAGCAGATTTTTTTTCATAGAGTATATTTAAATAATCAAAGTATGTACAATTCGGACGGGAATCAATAAAATCTTTGAAGGCGGTTTCGACTGCCCCCTCAGAGTTGAATTTTTTAACTTGCAAGAAGTAATCCAAATTTCGGAAATAATGGTAATCTGTTGGAGCTAGGTCCGGGGAGCATGGTGGATGGCTTAGACATTCCGATTGAAGCTACTCTAATTTGGTAGCGATGTGTGAAGCACGAGAAACAAATGCACGAGTAAAATTGAATTCTTAACCAAAGAGGAGATATTTCAATTCAAAGTGGCCAGTACGACAAAACTTCAATTTCATATGTAAGGACCTAATATGCCAATTTCCACGCGATTTACAAGTGTTAATTGCGTAAATTTATAGGCTAACACTACTATTAAATAATAATCTGTTGTTTTTAGAAACCTTTGACGTGTAAATTTGTTAAAAAATTGTGCGTCATAAACGAATTTAAATCTTTTTTTGGCTAGATAATTAGATAATTATTTCCAACATACAAATATCCTACCTACAGTAATATTAAAAATTTAAAATTTAAAAATAGAAAACATTTTTAATGCCACAGGGACTTAACTTTTTAAATTTGTTTAAGTTTGCTATTTTTCAATTTTTAATTGGCAGCATTTCCTCGCTGTATTGCGATACTTATTCGTTGAGCGAGGAAAGCACCAACTCTGAGGTCACCGGTACTAACTACTAGGGGCTTACTTAAATCTTGAATTAGTCATTAGTAATTCAAGAGTCTCTACTCCAAAAGTAAAAATACTAAGTCAAAACAAATTGTTTTTTTTAACTAATATTTTGTAATACGTTACTTTCCCCTATCTTCACCCAGCGCAACAATTGGTTGATCGCGTCTTCTGTCAAATACAGAGCTATCACCTTCGAGATAAGAAACAATCAGTCTTCTTTTCTTCCTATTCTAAACTACTACTCCTACGTTTTTTAACCGACATAAGAGACCGAAGGAGGAGGTTATTACGTGTCTTGTTTTCTGTATGTTGAAGCATAGATACTCCGTCCGTGGACTGTTGTATGATTGAGAAGTCAAAACTCAATGTGTATAACGATTACTATGATCAATACCTCATAATAAATCTTATTTACTTTCTTCTCTGGCTGCGCATAAACACATTTGTTGTTTACCTAAACGCGACGTCACATTCGTGATCGGACGTCATGACACTGCGAGCTGTTTTCACGCGCTAAGGGCTCCCACACAAAACTGCGAATTCGCATCGCATCGCAAATATCTGCGAATTCGCACGAACGCACCGCAAGAAGTTCCGATCTGCTTCGCATCGCACATTCTTGCGATATTACGTCATCCTTGGTGACGCCATTTTAGTCCGCTCTGTGACAGCTTTAGAGAAAGACGCGCGGCGTCTCCACCGCCTTCTTTGTTTATAAAAAATTGCGGAATATGATATGGATTTTTTAATATTTTTAATTGAGGAGCGTCCCGTCTTTTGGGACACAAGTGATGAACATTATAAAAATAAATTTATTGAGCAAGATGTGTGGAAGAGCGTCTGTGAAAGTTTGCATCAGAGTTTATAATCGTAATAAATGGATGAACCCAGAATCTTCTTTTTCTTTTATATCTATTTAACAATAACAGCAGTGCAATATTCTTTTTGCGATCTATCTTACGCTTCCTTAAAACACGTCCAGTACGGCTGACTACGAAGGAATGGTCGCCCTACCAAACGGTTTGTCGCACTAAATCGTATCGCAGAAATTCGCATCGCAAGTTTCTGCGATGCGAATTCGCATCGCATCGCATCGCAGTTTTGTGTGGGAGCCCTAAAGAACTGTTTTTTTTTTAAATGGCTTTAAACTTCGTTTAACTTTAGATTATTACCGGAATAAAGGTTTTTTGGGAAATAATATATGTTTACCCACATAATGAAAGAGGATTTCAAAATCTTTCGTCATGCCTATTATGAGTAGACTTTCAAAAAATCATCGTACTTAGGTTTTTATGTAAATAAACTAATTAACAATTCATGCATTCCATACTTAACAATAAATTTTATAATTATTTGAGCAGTAGCCTAGAGGCTTCTGCGTGCGACTCTCATCCCTGAGGTCGTACGTTCGATCCTCGGCTGTGCACCTTCCTTTGGCCAATGGCCTTTCTTTCTGTGTGCGCATTTAACGGTCGAACGGTGAAGGAAAACATCGTGAGGAAACCGGCTTGCCTTAGACCCAACTGTCGACGGTGCGTGTCAGGCACAGGAGGCTGATCACCTACTTGCCTATTACATTGAAAAATTACAACGTGTAAAGGTTGTATCGCTTCTGGTATTTAATAAATTAAGTGAGGGCAAGCGGTGAAACCCAAATAAAAAACAAAATATATTTAAATTACTTTAATCAAACTATTGAAATCATTGCACTTAATTAAAAAGACAATTAAATCGGCCCGATATGAGGTGCACGATCAATAATTTATATTGTTGACTTATTACTAATTTGAGGATTTGATCGGCCCCATATGAGGTATCTGATTAAACTGTCGATGTCTGTTGTCCGCAGGTATTGCTTATGCGGGGTAAAGGGGTTGCAATGGATATGTAACAAATACTTATAAGTGCATTTTCTTATTTATTTTTTGGTTAAGATATTTTTATTATTTATTTATTAATAATATTATTATTTATAATAAAAAAACACTATAGTTAAAAATGTTTTCAGGTGTCATCCCGGCACGGTATATTCTAGCCATCCTGGGATCTGTAGGAATGGCCATCGTTTATGGTCTGAAAGTAAACTTATCTGTGGCTATGGTTGGTATGTTAAACCATACTGCTATAAAACTGGCAGCTCACGATGAACCACATGAAACTGCTTCCCAACCTTCGGAGCTGGAGTGTCAACCAACGAGTAACTCAACTAGTAGCAACGTAAGTTATTCTTCATTTCCTTTCATCCATAAACCTGTGTTTGTGTATGTTTTTTTGGTCATGAAATTTGGCGTAATTTTCGTTTCGCTGGGAATCAAAGCCTCCGGGTTATACAAAATGAGTTAACCATTACACGGCGGAGTAGTATTTAACTCTATAAATTATTTAGAATTCTGAAATATATACTAAAAAAGAAATGATTCAAGATTTTTAACAACTAATAACACTTTATAAATATTTATCTTATTGTTATTTTTGAAGCTTTAGTTAGTAGTTTATATGTCGATATTTAATGGTAATTAGGCTGACTAATCAGTTAATAAATATAATTTATAAACAATACATAATGTCACTGACTAACACATTTCCAAGAACTTGAAATGAATTTTAAAAACGCTCTTATATTTATAATTGCCATGTCCTTCTAAACAAATTCGACCTAGGGTCCTTCAAGAAAATAACGCACCAAGTTGGTACGCTTTTTTCTTGATCTATTTGGTACTATTTTTTATTTTCTATTTGGTACTACCAACCGGCCAGCAACGCACTTAGTCCTCTGGCAATGTGTGTCTCCTGCCGTTTTGTTGTATAACAAAATAACATTAAGACATGACATCAAGACATCTATATGTGTAAACTATCGAATACAATGAGAATAAAAAAAATCGAATCCGTAAGGAATAACTATAGGCAGTTACAATCTCACATAGACTTACTAATCTTACACTCTTAACCTTAACCTTAACTAATAATAATTATTCAAAATTTATAAATAGAAAACAAAAAAAAAAGTTTAGTCTCTGTGGCAGTGATCCTATTGCTGGCAGCATTTCCTCGCTGTATTTGTTGAGCGAGGAGAGCACCAGGCACCTCCGTAAATCCTTATTTAGCGCCTGTGTCCAAGAGTGTATACAAAGCATTAATAAAATCAGGTCAGTATTAAATAAGCCCTTTTATTACCGTCCTGGAATTGTTTATTTAAGGACATAAAATATTAATAAGTTTAACCTTGCAACCGGTCAATCTAAACTGCGTTATTTTGGGACGATTCCAAAATTCGCGAATAAATACGCACACACGTGAATATAAACTTTCAACAAATGGATAAAAATAGGTGACCTATATGTAGATTTTTTCTAATCAAATAGATCCTGAAGATCCCATCAAATAATTTACTAACGACTTCAAAAAGGGGTTCTCAGTTTGACCTCTGTGATATTGTTGGAATTAGATTATTTAAGTGACTTATGTTCCGTGGCGGTTGTTATATGAAGATTTTTAAATAAAACTCTTTGTTTGAAGCTGGTTAACAACTGATTTTAATGGTTTAAAATATGAGCTTATATCTAGCACAAAATTAGGGGATAGAGACGATAACAAAAACACATGGCTTATCTAAGGTTTCATAAATCTAAATGACACTAATTACAGAAACGTAAATCTTAAAATACAATTTATGAGTGCGGTAAAAAATTGGCCTCAAGTGTGATGATTGTTTACATATGTAACTTAACTAAAAATAGATTACCTAACTAGTGTGTTGCTCGGCTTTGTACCCAAGTTTATCGGAAACTTCTAATTGAAATATTGAAAAATCAAAACCCCAGAGCTGGTGCTTTCCTCGCTCAACGAATTAGTGTCGCAATACAGCGAGGAAATGCTGCCAGCGTTAAAGGTACACTGCCACAGGGACCAAACTATTTAAATTATTTTTAATTAATATTATTATTATTATGCAGGTTAAGAATATTGCAATTACTCTATATTTGTTTATTTTAAATTGTCTTTTGAAACAGTTTTAGTTTTATAAAAAACAGTGTTGTTGATTTTGGGAAATGGAGAATTATATAATATAGGTACCTAAATATTTTTTTCTATTTCAATTGACATCTTTAAAAATTATAATTCTCTTTATTATAGAGTGATATTTACATAAACTAATTTGTTGTTCTTACTCACGTATAAACTAAAAAAATAAATGTAAAGTTTTATGACCGGCGAGACTACAACTGTCTTGGAACCAAAAAAAAAGACTACAATTGTTTACATATTAAACAATTGAAATCTTTTTATTGAACCAACTATATGAGATTATTTTTGTTATTATACTTTTTGTTTGACGCGTCCTCAACCCAAATCTCTAAATAGAGTTTATGTCTACGTCAATCGGCCTGATTTTATCGACAATAATACCAATTGAATAAATTAAACCAAATGCTGCTTTCACATTTAACCGACAGTGTTAATTTATCAAAGTTTCGATTTCTTATTGATTGATTAATTCTTCGTAACTGTGATCTAAAATGGGCCTACGTTTATAAATGCCTACGTGATTTTTCTTAGAACAGAGGCAAGCAGTCGGGACTTATAAAGAAGTGCTTACCGCCCATGACATTCAACGCCAAGAGGCTTACGGGTGTGTGGTTGGCCTTTAAGAGCTTTTTCTTGAAAGCCCCTAAAGCGTTCTGGCAGCTGGTTCCACAAAAAACCATAATCCAAAAAGTATTTCAAATGATAATTAATTGAAAACTTCTGACTTCCCAATCGGATATAAAACATACAATTCAAATATTTTCGTGATTAATTTTCTATATAATACTAGTGGACCCCACAGACGTTGTCCTGCATGATATTTAAAGCGATTAGGATATAAGGCAAAGTATGAAAGTACCGACTGCAGTGCCATCTGCCGGGCTGATTTGTGAATCTAAACCATTCCCATATCCCCTTGAACACACACAAAAAATTTCATCAAAATCGGTCCAGTCGTTTGAGAGGAGTTCAGTCACATACACACGCACAGAAGAAATATATATATTAAGACTAGTGGACCCCACAGACGTTGTCCTGCATGATATTTAAAGCGATTAGGATATTAAGCAAAATATGAAAGTACCGACTGCAGTGCCATCTGCCGGGCTGATTTGTGAATCTAAACCATTCCCAGATCCCCTTGAACACACACAAAAAATTTCATCAAAATCGGTCCAGTCGTTTGAGAGGAGTTCAGTCACATACACACGCACAGAAGAAATATATATATTAAGATAATACCTACTCCTAGGTTTTCTGTTTTTTTATATGAAAAGAAACGTTATATTGTGTGGTAAACAAGACTCTCATACCAGAGGTCTTAGGTTCGATCCAAGGCTGTGCACCAATGGACTTTCATTCTATGTGCGCATTTAACATTTGCTCGAACGGTGAAGGAAAACATCGTGAGAAAACCGACATGTCTAGACCCAAAAAGTCGACGGTGTGTGTCAGGCACAGGAGGCTGATCACCTAATAGACAGATTAATAAATGTGAGGCCCAGACCTAAAAGAGGTTGTAGAGCCACTGATTTATTTTAATTTCATACAAGTCAAACCAACCAAAGTGCGACGCTTTAGGGAGTCGGACATTAAATAAATAATATAATTGTATACCTATTTGTGTGTTGTAAATAAATCATAACATAAAAATCGATTAAAGTTTTTGTTTATCTATTTAGGATGCAGATGGTCCATTCCTGTGGTCGTCCGAAGTTCAGGGCATTGTCCTCAGTTGTTATTTCTGGGGATATTTTGTTTCGCAAATTCCTGGTAAGTGCTGTGTTACCTATGATCGTAAATTTTGCTAATACAAACCAGATTTTAGGATACTCTGTGAAACGGATGCGGAATTTGTATTGGTGTCAATTCGAATAGTAAATAATATCAATATCGATATGGATATACGACGGCAACAATATTGGATTTGGGTCATTTCTGAACTTTTATTTTCACACAATCATCAATTCTTTTTGCCTAATTTTTACTGTAATAAAATTTAATAATATAAAAGAACCAGTAGGCTTGCTCCGTAACTCCCAATTTGAGTTTTGTTAAGCGAGGTTCCATGACCATGTCCCCTCATAGGGCGGACAGAGTCTCTCATTATTTTAATTGGTATTGTAACAGACGGAGCAGTGTGGGCCAAGTAAAGGCTTTAGCGTGCGACACTCATCCCTGAGGTCGTAGGTTCGATTGGACTTTCTTTCTATGTGCGCATTTAGCATTCGCTCGAACCGTGAAGGAAAACATCGTGAGGAAACCGACATGTCTTAGACCCAAAAATACGACGGCGTGTTTGAGGCACAGGAGACTGATCACCTACTTGCCGATTATATTAACAAATGATCATGAAACAGATACATATCTGAGACCCAGACCAAAAAAGGTTGTAGCGCCACTGATTTATTTTTTTACTTTATAGTAACAAAATACCTTTGTGTACGGTCTTATTAAAAAAAAAAAAAAAACAAACTTGAACCGTGTCGAGATATAGTAGTGGATTCGGATTTCGGTCCTTACTGGTTTCGTGGCTAAAATTTTAGTATTCTACTATTAAGTTCTATCGAAATGCCTTTGTGCAGCTAGCCTAGGCAGATGCTAGGCAAGCTAGCTGTAATATTAAAGCAAATTATACCTATTTCCAGGAGGGAGAGTAGCAGAATTGTTTTCTGCGAAATGGGTGATGTTCTTCAGTGTGACCATCAATGTGATATGCACAATATTAACGCCAGTGATGGCAGAAGCTCATTACATTGCAGCTGTCATAATGAGAGTTGGTGAAGGTATTGGCGGGGTAATTATATTTACAATATATTTTTTAAATTCGTCAGGTTCTCTCTAAATGCTTGGTTGTGTCAGATGGGTACAAGCTCTTATAAAAATTGTGTGTTAAAAAAGTTTATATTTTTCTAAAATCCTGGTCTTGTCGAACTGGTCAAGTGGGACCAGGGATCTCGGAAACCAAGACGAGTGGTGTGCAGGAGTAAACCTTTAGATCCATAAAAGTTTATTTAAATTCCTGTTTCGTATACATAGAGGCATGGTGGCTTAGTCAACACGAACTATCATTTTCATACAAATTTAGTTTTTGAATTTCTAGACACATTACTGTGACTCTTCCTAATCCCCATGGAACAGACTGCGTTTTATTACTGTTTATTTTTAGGTTAGGTACATTATTTCGTGCCATATTGGGTCATTATCGCGTCGTTGGAAATCTTCCATGTTGCACCACCAAGCTACGGAGATCCATTCGTCCTTTATTATTTCAGGGTGTAACATTTCCAGCGATGCATGTGTTGCTATCAAAATGGGCTCCGCCAGCTGAACGGAGTGTCATGGCATCTCTTGTTTACGCGGGAACTTCACTTGGAACTGTCATCTCCATGCTAATGGCCGGAGTGCTTACAGCTACTCTTGGTAAAGTTTTTTTTATTAATACTTCGTTGCAATAACATAAAAAATTTTACAAATTTAAATGAAATGGCCTTATCGCTTTCGAGCGATCTCTTCCAGGCAACCACTTTTGTTTTAGCTATTTGAATTTCTTTAATAATAATAATTTATTGCAAGAATATGGTACAAAAATGTGTAAGATGGTGCAATCGTAAGTTCGCATATTCTGCCACACACAATAACGGGCATATTTGTCTTTAAAGGAATTTTACATTTTACATTATTAGTCATATGAATTGGTCAGTTCTTATATTATTTGTATCGTACATATCATATCATACGTTATTAAACTTATATCAACTACAGTGTCTCACGGAATTAATAATTTATTGTTTTTTTTTTTCCAAAAGTAATACACCAAGTCATCCTCTTACCTTAATATTGTTCAAGACCGTTAACTTGCTAGCTCTTGTCAAATTTTCATTTGAACTGAAAAATAGAGAGAAAGATTGGCGCAATTTAACTTATCTTTAATCTCAGCCTAAGGCTGATATATAATCATGAAGACAGTAAACACTATAGTGCAATTGACTGCCTTATCGTAATATCGACCAGTAAATGGAGATATTTTTACTCTTGTAAGAAACTAATGTGGGCTAAATAATTAAAAGTATAAAAAACAAATATTTCAATTTATTGCTTAATAACTCACAAATATAGAGTATTTACAATTTTCTTAACCTACGTAGTAATAATAATAATTGAAAATGTATTAATATAAAACTAAAAACAAATTTTGCTCCCTGTGGCAGTGTACCTTTAATGCTGGCATTTCGATACGTATACAACATCAAAGTATACAACATCGTAGCTCTTTCCTAACGTTCTTTAGTAAATTCCTTTAAAAAAAATTACCGACTTCAAATTGCACTATAAGTGAAAAAATAAATAACTCTTATTTCTATTGATTATTTAAACTATTTTTTTTGGATGTCGGTGCCCAAAATCAATGTTATATATCTCATATGAAACCAATTCGCTGCAAATTCGAATCATTTGACACCTAGATCATACAGATTGGTCCACGGACGGCGGAGTTTGAAAATATGTACAAAAATTACACGTCGAATCGATAACCTCTTCCTTTTTTAAATTGGGTAAAAATCCAACCAGGCCAGTTGATATTTGTTTACAACTTAGCACATTTTTTTCTTTCGGATTTTTCATAATTAATGTAAATATTTTTATGGGTGTTAACAGTGAATTATTTTTTAGGCTGGGAAAGCGTGTTCTACGTGATGGGAGGTCTTTCTTGTCTCTGGTGTGTTCTATGGATCTTCCTCATTAAAGACTCACCAGGTGAACAGCCGCTTATAAGCCAAGAGGAGAGAGATCTGATTACCACTTCTCTTGGAGGAAAATCTGGTGACCACTCGCATAAGGTAACTAACGTAACAAGCCAAAACAAGAAAAAAGGATTTCTGATTTTAAGGCGCCGTTCAAGTATTACGTAAGCACTAGAGGGGGGAGGGGGTCTTTGATTTGCTTATTTGGTGATTACGTCAACAGTAATTATAAATTTACTCTTTAACACATATTACCCACACATTGTCTATGCTTGAAAACGAAATACATTTTCGAGGATTCCTACCAAAAATTAATACGTTTATGTACTATTATTTTTGAGAGCTGAGAGAGAGAGAGAGAGAGAGGAAGAAGGAGGGGGATAAATTGCAGTAAATCTGCTTACGTAAAACTTGAACGGCCCCTTAAACAGCACCTTTAAGAGATTCCTCCCCATAATTTCAATAAATAAATACATCATTTATTTGCTCAAAATTCAACAATCAACCACACCAAACTAGAATGCAAATCGTTAATTATCATATTATCAAATCAATTATTTAAGAACACATATTATAGAAGTGCGTTTAAAAATCTAATCATTAGGTTAACTATTTCCTGTGAAAACATATTTATACGATTAAAATGTCCCCGTAAAAATACCACTCGCAAAGGCTTTCTTCTAAGATGGCCTACACAGGTGGTGCTGCCAAAGTTTCAATTTACTAAGTCTCGGTTCGCGGCGCTGCCACGCGAGCTGCAAAGCATGCAGTGGGGTGATATTTCAATATATTATTTAAGAGAACAATTTAATTTAAATTAAGAACGTTTTTTTATAGGACACTGAGGCCTGAGCAATGGTCCAAAGAAAATGTACTACGAGTAAACTAACTTTTCTTATTTGTAAATTGTAATACACATACACACGCACATTAAAATCAAAGTCACATTTTATGAATCCCTAAGTCCACGGCGACCTTATATCAGTCCACTGTGCAGCGGAGAGTTGACATAACGCTATTGCCGTATGTAAAACACATTTTTCGGTATCCTAGACATTTCAAAATTCAAAAGTGTTGCCACCACAACATTCCCAATTATAGGGGTCATTTTTGCGGAGTCTGTTTAGCATCATACGTATTAATTGTGTTTGTAAGCCAGTTCATAATTTTGAAATACTATAAAATAACATTAAGAATACGAATACAAAATAAATATTTTTTAATACGAAAATCGGGTTGAGCCTAACATAACTGGCGGCAAAATTTTCGAAAATTCCTCATCATAATCCTTTCTTTTCAGAACATGACGGTCCCATGGAGGAAAGTCTTTACATCTGGTCCGTTCCTGGCGATAGTCGTCGCCCATGCTTGTTCAAACTGGGGCTGGTACATGCTGCTTATCGAACTTCCCTTCTACATGAAGCAAGTACTGAAGTTCAATATGACTGAGGTAAGACAATAAAATTAAACTAAAAGTAAGTCTCATGTCTGAATCTTACTCAACGAGTCAATGTAGATTGCTATTTGAACACAAATTGTTTGGGTTGATCCGTCCTGCCTCATTTCATCATCTTCCGAAGTCTTCCACGGTCCGCTTCACAAGACATTTTGAATACCAATGGGAGGTCTTCTGTTAAAAAAAGAGCATAGTCCTTCCTCAAAGACCGGCAACGCACCCACTAAAATGGATGTTCATAGGCTGTGACGAATGCCCTTTTTGGGCGTCCCGTAGACTCGTTTGCCCCTATGCTATATTTTTTTTTCTATCTAATCTTTCAATAGAGATAGCATATATAACTTCTTTTAAATCCTGGGAGGTTTGCGGCCAGCGCTGCGGACAACACTAAGTAAGAGATTACCGGAACAGGAATGTCTTTCAATGTGTTACTAAACTATGTAATATACTCTGACTTCAAATCTTCTCTCTCTGTCTCTGGGTTTGTAACTCAGATCTGAGTATTGTGGTCAGCTGTATAGTAAGAACTGGCGCGAATCATTTTCCTCCACCAATTTTGGTGCTGTGCATCTCGTTGGCGAACGTCCACGAGATCTTTTGCCTTCGCTTGCCGACTTTAAATCATAGCTTATGGTACGTTTACACGCTTGCCAAGCCTTGGCAAGGATCGACAATCGCAAGCATGTAAAAAGGGCGTTTGGCTTGGCTTGCGTGGGCTTGTGCCTGCTTGCTTCCGATCCAGTCGAGTGTCGGTTTTTTTACGCAGATCAAAGGGCGTTTGCGGCAAGCGCTTGCGATGCATTTACATGTTGGTCCGCGTTTAGTAGCCATTGTGATCTCGCGGCGAGTACACGCTTGCTTGATTTTACAAAAAATAAATAAAAAATGAGTTGCTGGTCGAATGAGGAGAGTCTTTCGTTTCTGGAACATTACCAAATGGAACCATGCATCTGCAATCCGAAAGATGCAAATCATAAAGATAAGAGGAAACAAGCAGATGCATGGATTCGTCTTGCTGAACTAACTGGAAGGCCAGTAAAGGAAATAAAAAATAAAAAAGTGATATTGATGACTACTTTTCGCAAGCACTTGAAAAAAAAAACGTGCGAAAAAGTACGTTAAACCAAATGCAATAGCCGTCACAAGTTCGGTGTCCGCTATGCTTGGATGTATATTGCAGACTGACGCATTCACAAGCGTATAAACGCCTTTCAAACGCCAAACGAGATTTGTGGAGGCTTGGGACTGTTTGCAGTTTGCCAAGGCTTGGCAAGCGTGTAAACGTACCATTAAAGGTACTTCGCAAATCCTATGATGATACTTGATCGATCCTAAATCCAACTGTTTCCAAAGCCCGGATGAATTCCTTGGCTTGCTATTTTTGTTGAACTAATTAAAGAGAATCAGAGATAATCGTGTAGCTTAATATAACGTGATTTCATTATAAATTTTCTTTATGTTAACTTAAAAAATCAATTTCAGAATGCAGTTACAACAGCACTTCCATTCCTATCACTATGGTTCTTTAGCATGGCTCTCAGTAAGACTTTGGATTGGATGCGGGGAAGGAACTACATCACTACAACGACAGCTAGGAAGATTGGAACACTATTCGGTAAGACGTACTAAAAATGGTTAAAATAAAACTATAACCGCTGAATTTCTTAGAATTGATAGTGAAATTGGATTTTTTAGTTGGAGGTCAGTAGGTAATAGTCTAGTAATGACCGCTGCTAAAACCATATGGTACCCTGTCATAGGTGTAAATGAAGTAACATTTAGGAACGCAAATTTCGACCTTAATGCTTGATTGCGGTTTATGAAGTATCATATTTTGATTTTGATTACATTTGAATGCGGTTTATTTATGTTTAAATGATACAGTTATTTTTGATATTTTTCATTTCTATTATTGTTTGTGTGTTTTGTTTCTGATATTAAATAAATGGCGAGCTGACCTTCTTCGCTCTCTTTGGTCTGATAAACTTTTATGATCCAGCCAGTTCTTTTCGCTCCTGCAATATTACGGGTACTAACTTCGGATTTCGTACCCCCATACATAGAATGTGTTATTCTTATAACACTCACATTTCAATGTTGATTTGTTTTCATGCCCCTACTGCTTTCAAGGGCGTTTTAAAATCGTCATTGTAATTGTTTTGGCTTTTATGTATGTACTCTAAATTGCTGTGTTTACATTTTCGTGACTTATTGTATTTATTTTAGTTGCGTTACTCATACTATTAAAAAAATTATCTCTGAAACAATTAAGGGACACTTCTATAATTATAATTCGTATTTTGTTTTATATAGCTTGTATTTATGATGTATACATGTTTACTTATTGATAAATATTTTTTTTTGTAATCCAGCATCAGCGGTGCCAGCGTCCTGTCTGCTCGCAGTATGCTACATCGGATGCAACCGCGGGGCAGCGGTCGCACTCATGGCGATCGGTGTTACCTGTATAGGAGGAATGTTTTGTGGATTTTTATCTAACCATATTGATATCGCACCTAACTTTGCTGGTGAGTTAATCGACGTCGTAATTAAACTAGATTTGCAAGGTGAAAATATTGTGGGAATAAACTTAACTTAACTGAACTTCTACACATTAGCCAAGGTATGTGGAGTCATGGAAAGGCTCCCCCTTTCTTTGTATTCAATTGAATCGTATACTTCTTAAAAAAGCTGGCAACGCAAGTGCGCCTTCTGGCAATGTAAGTGTCTATGGGCGACGGTATCTCTTCACATCAGGTGACGCTCGTTATTAATATAAAAAATTCGAAAGATTTGGTTTTTCTTCAGAACTTTACGTACTATATATTTTTTATTAAATTAAAAGTAATGAAACATTAGTTTGAAAAATTGATGGACGAATATCAACGTTATCAAAATAAGACGTCCGACTACATATAAAAACGAATCGTAACTATTTCAGTAATAAATTTATCTATACATATTGTTGTATCGGTGAATTAAACGGTTTTTGCAGGAACTCTGGTAGCAATTACCAACACAGTGGCCACGATTCCCGGAATCGTCGTACCAATTTTTGTAGGGGTGTTGACACATGGAAATGTAAGTAAACCTTAATTTTATCGCATTTTTTTTTTATTTATGCGTTCCACTTTTAAACGGAGGCATTTAAAAGTAGCATCATGTTCTTGTATACTAATTTATTTATTATTATGGATTCGAGTTTTTTTTTTTTGGAGTTTATGGCCTGGTATCTAGACCTTTAGGCCAAATGGATTCGAGTTGTATTTTTTTAATCACAGATTATAATAGAGTGAGCCAATTTTTAAATAATTAATTTTAAAGAACGAATTCTTAATTTACATTTTTTTCAGCAAACAATATCCGCATGGCGCATAATTTTTTTCGTCACAATAGCCCTATATATAGTAGAAATTATAGTTTATTCTATATTCGGTTCTGGTGAGGAGCAACCATGGAATAATTTAAAGGACAATGAAAACGATGGCAACCCTGAAGAAAGGCCTTTTAAAATGGACGAAAGAACCCATGTCTAGACTATGCCTATTGAAATGTCTTTAGTGTGGCTTAGTTTGTCGTTTCAGCTTAATTTCCTCTTTCCTATGTCAAAGCTAGGGTAATATTTTAATTTGAAGGCAGAAGACTACCCAAGTGGGTAGAATAAAGTCTTTCAAGGAAATAATATTAGTCAAAATGTGAAGCAATATTTATTGTGTTATTAAATTGTAGCCGTCATTTTTTATAATGGTACAATGTTTTCAACATTTTCACGCTAAGGCGACAATTAATTTACGCATAAATAATAAATCTTTAAGCTATATTTTAAACTCAATGTAATGTTTTTTAAACAAATATTTCATATGAGATTGTTTCAGAAATTATTAAGTTTTAATTTAAGTTAAATTAGGAATACATTTATTTTTTATGTTATCAAGGTAACATTGTATAAAATATAATAAATGCTATTTCAATTGATTTTATAGGCTGGTTACTTGTGTCATAATTAGCTTTAAATTAAATTAGTTTATTAGGTGGTAATACTTAAAAGTAGCTTACTGAGGCTATAATTATATAATAGGTACTTAACATATATGTAAATTATGTGTTTTGAGAAATGAATTAATCTTTGATTTTGTATAAAAAAATTAAGATATTTTTGACTGTAAGCGACTGTGTACTTAGTATATATTTATTTGTAATAAGAATTACATAATTTTAATAATTTATATTGATCAACATTACGCAGTTATTTAGTATATATTTTAAAGCATATTCTAACAGTTAAATTCAGAATCATAAGGAATTATTATAAGCTCAAGATTTTTTTTATAGTTACTACAAAAAGAGTGGCGGAGAGTTTGTTGCCAGTTCTTCTCTTCCGTTCTACGCCCTTGATTTGAGAACTGGCAGTAAAATTAGAAGCATTTCATATATATATTTTGACGTTCATAAATGTATATTTTGTTACATAGGTTCATTTGTTACATTCATATAGATGAATAAATGATTTTTGAATTTATGAGTTCGAATTCCGGAAAAAAATACAGTGTAAGCTCTTTATAACGTCATTCGTTAAAACGAAAAGCTCTCTATAACGTAAAATTTATTTGGTTTAACCCAATACCCATACATTAATTGTTCCCTCCCTATATCGAAATCTCTATAAAAAATAAAAATGCTCGGTTCCTTGAAATTCGTTATAAAGAGTTTACACTGTACCAATACAGTTAAAAGATTACCTCAGGTATTAAATATAACAGCAAAGTAAAGTGTGTAAAGTGTGAGCCAAGGCTGTACATTTTGCTCAATCAGGTTTTAACAATTGGTACGAATCAAGCGCAGGGAAACCTACGCAGGCACTCTCTTCCTTTTTACTATTTAGTCTAGAACCGTACAATATGTGTATGTAGTATTTAAATTATTGACAAATCGACTGCTATCGCCAAAGGCATTTTGACTCAAGTACTTAGAGATTATATTTTGTAATATTTTTTTGCTAATAAAAGCTTTGTTTACGTTTCACGTGACTTTCATTTTGAATGTATGTATTACTGGTTTAGTCAGTAGTTTAAAGTCTTATTGGTTTGGTCTAGCATTTTCAAATACAGAATATGAGGTCTCGGGTTCAAGTCCCAGGTGTTAATGAAAAATACGCCATTTCGAATTTTATGAATAAATTAAATCACCGCCTATTTCCAAAGTTGACTTAGGTTGACGGTGTTTTAATACCCTCGTGCCTCGGATTTTTAAATAAAATCGCCTTGATGATACAATTCTTCCTTTACGGTATTTGACATTTGACCTGTTGTAATTTTTATTGATTTTTTTTTAAATTTCGAAAAAAATTACATTATAGAATCGTTTTTGATTAAAGATATTTGATAAATTAAACAAAAATTGGTAATTTAAATTATTTTATTATTTAACTCTAACAAGTCTGGCGGTATAGGCGGGTCCAAAGTTAGCATCAATATGTGGAACTACAAGTTGACCGTACTTCGGCTTCGCGCTTCCTTGGCCAAGCATCAATGTGCTACTAAGACTACTGAAGGGTACTGTCATGTCTCTGAAAAAAAAGACTTAGGTCAAGTTCCGCCTTAGATACAATTATTAATATGTCATTTGAGATAAGGAAAACTACTGGAAACTATATTTTAATTCTTTAGTTAGACGACAACGATATGTTTAAAAATAGTCATAATATAAAAATAAGAAAATAGTGCCTATAGCGTATTAAGGCACCAATTTCTAAGACAAGCGAAATAAATAAGAATATAAAAATTGGGTAATATAAAATATAAACAACATTTGAATATAAATTAAGATCAGATTCATGGATCTCAAAATCAATTGACTGACTCGAATTGTTTAAAATATTAAATTTATATGTACACGATTATAGAAGTCGTCAAACTGAGCTGTTATGTTATATTTTGGCTCAAAGTATCAAAATATAATACTTACACATATTATAAATTCAGTGTTATCTCTTTATAACGTCATTGGTTATAACGAAAAACTTTCTATAACGTAAAAATGAGTTAAATTTATTTGGTTTAACCCAATACCCATACTTTATTTCTTTTATCCCTATAACGACACCTCTCTATAACGAATAAAAATGCTTGGAGCCTTAAAATTCGTTATAAAGAGTTTACACTGTGTATATAAAAACTACGCGACTGTCGACTTACTCTAAACGCGTATTATCGAAGGAAACAATTAAATGAATTTTAATACACACAACAACAGGCAAATTATTAGTACATCTTGGTCGTATATATGTCGCAGCCAGCTTTTTTTTTATGTAATAGGCAAACGGGCAGGAGGCTCACCTGATGTTAAGTGATACCCATGGGCACTAACATTGCCAAAAGGCTCGCAAGTGCGATGCCGGCCTTTCAAGAATTGGTACGCTCTTTTCTTGAAGGACCCTAAGTCGAATTGGTTCAGCAATACCTACTTAAAAACTAGCTATTTGATCAACTGGCTGAATATCTTTCAGGCCGCTAGTTAAACGACACTGTTTAGTTAAAGGCAGGCTGTTCATTGTACGGCTTTTTTAAGCTTCACAAGGGCTTGGCTGCGACATATACACCATAGTATATTACCCCATAGGGTAATCAATTTTGGCTATATTTTTAATCTATTTTTTTAAAGCTGTGGTCTATTAATACATAAAGATACTAACTTGACAACAGCGACTATATTATCACCGACAAATGCCTGTTTGAGAGCTAAATGCACGACGCCATCATTTTGTATGGGACTTAGAGAACACGTCGAATATACAACCGCTCCGCCCACACGAACCAGCCGTAGGGCATTCCTAAAAATATATAAGGCCTATAATATTTTAATATCCCAAGTTCTGTATAAATAAGTTATTTATATATTCACGCCTTTTTCCCGAAGGGATAGGGACCACGGATTGCTACGATCCATACCTCGCTCGTTTTTTTTGCTTTCATGAAATTCACCTTCCCTTCAATTATGCGAACTTGTCTTTTCTCTAGTACGTCCTGCATTTGGTCCAGATACGACCAAGGCCTACCAACCCCACTTGGATGGTAAGTCGCTTCTCAGTCATCCTTTCTACAGCCTACTGTGCCTGACACACGCCGTCGACTTTTCCGACACTAAGCCAAGCCGGTTACAAAAAAAGTCCATTGCACAGCCAGGGATCGAACCCACGACCGACGGCTACGATGGATGAGAGTCGCACGCTGAAGCCACTAGGCCAACACTACGTTATAATTATGTAACAGCACGCCACTGCCAAGTGTTTAGATACAATAATATTTTTGTACTATATTCTTGCAAATAAATAATAATTATTAAATATAATACTTTGAGACTTACACAAGCAGCTGCGACTGTAACTCCGGTATCCTAAGTCTCTCTCTTATCCTATCCGGTCTGAATATATTATTATCATCCTCATTCAAAGAATGTCTGTCTGTTGTACACGGAACATCTACTAAAACCTGAAAACACATTTATAAAATACAAGTGGACCCAACAAACGTTTTGTACACACGTAAAAAAAACATCTAAACCATTCTCGAACCCACTCGAAAAAAAGAAAATTACATCAAAATCGGTAAAGCCGATCGGTCTTTGATTTTCTTATGAGGTGATTACGTCAACAGTAATTATTAACTTTTTTTTACACATATTACGTACACATTGTCTAATGCTTGAAAACGAAATGCATTTCCGAGGATTTATACAAAAATTAATACGTTTATGTATTGTGTTATTGCTGACAAGAAGAGGGGGGACCTAATTACTTGTTAAATTGTTTGCGTACGCAAATATAGTTTATAAATTAAGTCTAATTTCACCAATTAAATACATCTGTCTCTTTTCATCACAGCGTAAACCCATTTTGACAGAAAGAGACAATAGAGCATTTTTAAGGGTTCATTAAACATTTATAATTAAATCACCTTATCAAATCCCATATCATCTGTGAACAATCTTCCATCTTTGTTAGTGCACACAACTCTCTCCTGCCATTTGTTGTTTGTCCTAAAGTCAATTAAGTAGTTGCGTAATATGTTTTTTAATCTGAAATAAAGAACTAATTTTTATGACATTTTTATCCAAAAATTCAAAGCAATAGGGGGCAAGAACACGTTGATGAATTTCTTCTTAAAATTTAAAAGTATAAAACAAAATGTGTGCGTGTACACACGTAAGAAGTGAAACTTCTTTATGACCTTATTAGAAATTAACACAGTAAATTTTGATACACTGCCTAGCATACAATTTACAAATATTGCGCAAATTGCATTAGCAAATTTCAAGTCGAAAATTATCCTGTCAAACTTCAAAGTCAAAACATACTATATGTCATATTTTAACGCCGATAAAGAAGTTTGACTTCGAAAATTAATCCGTTGTCAAACTTCAAATCAAACTCTTATGTCATATTTAACGCCGAAAAGAAGTTTGACTTCAAAAACAACTGCCTAACGGAAAATGTGACGTACCAAAATTTAACTTTTTACCCCGTAAAAGTTTCACTTCAACAAAATCATTTTTTTTTACATCTATAGAGCATTGCTACAAAGTTGTGTATTCAAACCGTTGCAATGGATTTTTATTTTTATGAAAACATTTAACACTCGCTCTCGTGATGAAAACTTTACAAGTTCCTATGGGCACAGAAAGCTGATAACTAATTCTCTATGAAAATATTGTGCATTAGGCTTCCTGTAATACAACTATGCAAACTATTCAATACTCTATAAGGGAGAGTTCAAGTATTACGTCACGCAATTTTTGGAGATTATTGACACCCCCTCGCCCCGTGTAACGCGCCGTAACGTTTTTTTTTGTAACCAAGTATAGTAAAACGTTTCGTGACCACCTAGTGACTCTTTATACCTAAAAGTTACCATTACGTTTTGTAAAGTACTGTAAACTCGAATAATATTAACAATAACGCGTAATTCAATCCCCGCCCCACATCGTAACGTTTTACTAAAGGACCCCCCTCCAAAATGCGTTACGTTATACTTGAACGCTCCATAATACATTACCTATTAGATCTAGATATAGAACTATCATTACACACAAGTACATCCGGTAACAAAGTCTGTAAAGCTATAAGTGATTTGCCTCCTGGTGCTGCACACAAATCTAATACTCTATCGCCTTGTTGAAGACACAATGCCAATACGGGCAGCACACTACTACCATCTAGTGGGTAGTAATTGAATACACCTGAAACAAAGTAATATGAAATAGTCAATTTGATGTGGCGGTCTCTTGCTGACGATAACTGATAAATACTCAAAACTTCAAGAAATGTATATTGTGTAATAAATTTGCTCTTACATCTTAAATTAATTTATTGCAATAAAATCTTGTTTTAAAGGGAAATAAATCTCTTTTTTTATTGTTTTTTTGAAATTAAAGTTTTAAGTATGTATAAATAAAAACTAAAGTGGTTTGGAAATTTTTGTTATACTTGAACTACAGCTGTTTTTGTCTTGACATGAGATTTCACCAAATCTTTCTTTATCAGAATTGAGTATTGAATTGAGCATTGACAGTAATGTAAGAATAGAGAAAAAATGGTTGGGATTACTAATGTAACAAAGTTTTGTTTTTGAATACATTTCACATGTTTATGTTGAAAAAATTTAATTCATAGCTATAATCATTTATTTCAATACAAATGACTAATACTCATAAAAAAACTTTTAATCATACCTGTATTAGACCTCTTTGGTTCAGAAAATTTATACATTTCACTACCAGTTTCATATGTCATAATTTTCAAATATTCTGGAAATTTAAATTCGGTTTCTGGTTCTATTACTAATGGGAAATCTCCACTCTCTGAAAATTATTAAAATAAAAACTTAATTGAAATTGAAACTTACTTCAGTAAACAGTACTTGATTTTTCTTAGAGAAAACAGCTAGATATATTACATTCTGTAAGCAAGGCATAGCTATTTCTCTATAACTACATAAACAATATTCTTAAATTGGCATGTTATAATTATAAAGTCAAACATTGTTTTTGGTAGGGCCACACTATATTAAGCCTATCATGCTGAGACAGTTTTATAAAACAGAATACTTACGGGCAGAATAGAAAGAATAATGTAGGGATTCAGGAACAAAATCCTCCATGCCCTTTAATTTTGTTGCTGGCACATACTGGTACAAAGATTCTGAAGATATTCCCATTGCTGGATCTATGATGCGACTATAGTCGATGTCTGCTTGATCTATTGCTTCGTCCAAGTTTTTTGATATATGTCTTAAAAAGAAATTTAATAAACCAAATATACAACCAAAAAACAGCAATGTAATGGAAAATATGAAATATTTTGTAAGCCCTCCTCTCTCTTTTTTTTTGTCTCTAACAGGGATGATAATATTTTCCCGGTTCGTGACATTTGGAGTGTTCACTGAACTTTTTTTTATAAAGATAATAATATATGGTAACTTCTTTCACTTACACAGATTTTTCTTTTTCAATTTGAACTTCCTCTGTGTTGTTTAATATTGTATCTTTTAGTTCCAATTTTTCTGGCAGTTCATGACTTTGTGGATAAATACTAGTAATTTCATCACTCTGAAGTTTTGATATGTAATTTCCAATTGAATTATCATTGCTTTCTTTCTCCTGAGTAGGTTCTAATGGATAATTTGTATGAAACTCTTGTTGTACAGACATTAACCTTTTTAAACAGTGTGCTCCTGAAAATATAAATTCTATATGTATGTGACATATATTATAATATTCATATAAAACTCTCTGGTATACATCTCAAAAAGATAAATCCTTACTATTAGTGCTTTGTAATTTTATAATAAATCTTTAAAGCATAAGTTAAACGGGATGATTACCTTTGTGCGACAAGTCTTCCATTGTTTCTTCAGTATCCCCGTAGTTATTTACTACAGCAACATACTTTGAACGTCGAAAGAGAGCTTCCCTCATTGACATCCACTGATCGCCGAAAACAGAACCGTAAAAATCATCAAAATGATTTATTGCCTTATATTTGGGTCCAGTTTTCTTTTTCAGCTTCGCCTACAGTAAATGTTTCAGTAGAATTTATTTTATTAAAACAAATATTTTCAATATAAAAATACTGTCAATACATACCCAGTGTGTTTTGGTTTTATGTCGAATTTGTGCAGTAATTAATGGGTATAAATACGTATTTTTATTGATCTTCAAAACATTTAGCATTGTTATTAGCAGTGGCTTGATAATTTTCTTAGAACAATATAATTAAGCGGCAATAACTTTTATAAGATTTAACAATACTGTTATTACTATTTGTTGTGTATATTAGGAGGTTATGGCTTTAATTGTCATATAAGACAATTGACCGTTTATTAAGAGCAGATTAATACGAAAATGGTGATTGGAGATGTTTATGGTTTCTTTGATTTAAAAATTAGCTTGTGAATGAGAAATTTTCGATTAGCAGTGTCTCATACTTAAACACAACTAATAAAATATAAATACTTAAATTTTAAAGTTTTCAAAACAAGTCGTTGCTGTTCAGCTGTACGTTTATTTTATTGTATAGTTTGTCACAGTCAGAAAATGGAAGAAAGAGATAAAATATTTAGCGCTCCCGCTTTTACAACGCGCGCCAACAACAAATTCCTTGGTATTGATTTGTTTACCAGGATTGGGATGGGAGAATTGGATGTTGTTCTATATTATTATACTGCATATATCTCGACAACCTTGTCAAGACTGAAAACGATTTGGAGATAATAATCGTACCTAATTACCACCTTCCGTGTTGAGGTGTTTATCAGTTAATCGTGCCAGGCAAAGTTTAGCCCCTGGAAGTTTTAGGGGTCTTTTAAGCTTAATTACCTGTGTAGCGAGACGTATTATCGATTGCAAAGTCCTTCCGTGATTCGACACACTGGATATACGATCTTGTAACTTGATAAGAATAAAAATATGTGCAGTGAGACTAAAATGTGTGTCAGTTGTACGGATATCACGATGCAAAGGTATGTTTTTTCTTATACATACCTGTAGAATTTGAATCAATATTTAAACTGATACTATGAATGATTTTTGCTTTTCTTGTAGATTTAAAACTGCGTATCGTACTTTGGTGAAAGTGATGACTAGTTAAAAAGTATTTTAGAGAAGAATATTTACCAGTCATGTATGGGATGTTGCAAACTGTTTATCAGGCGAGTTCTACGGCATGGAAGGCGGTAAGCTGGAGGCTATGCCTCCTGGGTTGGTCCATCTGGACACTGTAAGGGCCTTGCATCAGACTGTAGTCTCTCTTCGCACTGCTCTGGAATTGTCTAAGAGTGAACTAAAGGAATTGAAAGAAAAGTACAAAGAACAGTCACGGTGTTTAGAACACACCGATATTATAGAGCAGCTAACTATTGAAAATCACATTTTAAGAAGGAAAATTATTGATGGTGATAGTCCACAAAATATTAATTATTCAAACAGTCCCAATGTTGAAGAATATAGCGATGTATATATAAGAACAGCTACTGCTGAGGGTATAAAAGACATAGAACTGCCAGAAGAACCCCAATTTGACAATAAGCTAGAGGAAATTATTGAAGAGACCTCTATATCAAATCAATCGGAGACATCTGAAAATAAGGAAGAGCCAAAAAGTGAAGTAAAAGTAATAGATAAAGCAAATTTTAAAACTAAATTAGAACTATTATCAAAATTTGATGTTAAAATTAAAGTAATAACTTTAAAAGAAGGTTTGTCTACAACTACCTCTGAAACAGATTCAACAATTGAAGATAAAGTTAATCCAACTGCTGATACAGAATTTGAAGAAAAAAGAGAACATTTTGAAAAGTTTGAAACTCCTAGTGGTGATATAGTGAATATTAAGACTGTGTCAAGTGAGAATATAAAAATGGCTGTTCCCAGTGAGGCAGATAACAAAAAAGATAAATTTGATGTTCAGGTGAAGATCACTTCAGAGGATAATGTTGTTGTTAAAGAGACTACGGAGAAAGCCAAAAGAAAGGAGACTTTTAACTTGGATGTGGATACTTTGAGTCTCAGGTATAAATAAGTCAGAAAATTTGCTGAGTCTCCACACATTCCATTGTGTCTGAAGGCACAATTTTATCCTGTCTTACAGAACAGAAATTCTATTGGTGTAAGAAGTGCTAGACCAACTCTGCTTATACTAATATTAATAATCTTTTAACAGATCAATGTCAGAAGGAGATAACTCAGTGTTCTCAGAAGGGACTACACCAATGGAGAACAGTGCTCTTGGTGAGAAGCAGGATCAAGAAAATAGTGGGAATGAGTCGGAAGAAGTTGATGATATAGAACTGATATTTACCACAGACGAGTCTAAGGATATCAGTAATTTACAGGTAATTCCTGACTAATTCAAGTAGTTTCTAAGAGATTGGTTTTGACTTTTTTTTTCTGTACAATAATTATCCACATTTGAGGCAGAATTTTTTTTATCTACTTTTTTACACTTAGTTAAAAAAAACTACTTAAAGACAACCTAAGGTGGCATAATCGATCTCTCAAAATCTTCTAGGCAACCCTAATTAAGGGTGTGGAACTTATTTTATAATACACAAAATAATAATTCACCAGAAACTTACATTTAAATAACCCATACCATACTATAAATATATCCCTGAAAAAATCATTTGCATAAATTTTACACGGTCAAGTCATATAGACAACAATAGACAGGACAACATTCATAGATTAAGTCAATAAACTAACTAATAACTAAACTTTAATAGGTATCGCCATACCCAATACTTACAAGAAACTGTAGTCTATAGCAAACATAGAGATTTTATAAACGAAATAAAAAGAATGTGAATCCATAAATAAGTATCCATGCTTCCCATGTATAGGCCATTAAATATTAAACAAAAAACTAGTCCCTGTAATTTTTTCACCATTTGAAAGGTACACGAATGTATTAAATTATTAGACCTCCGAAAACGTCCATTTACCAACAATCGCCGCGAAATCCATCCGCGAAAATTCTAGAATAACTCCTAAAAGAACCTATTGTGCCTATTTTGATTTGCAACAAACAAACTTACCAAACATCAATAATAATCAAATCTTGATTGATTATCTTTTTAAGCACACCTGACCAGAAGGTGGCCTATGTTATTGAGTCCCAGCAAATAATGATCGTAGTAATAAAAGCTAAATGTGCTGGATCATATTTAACTGGTTTAATATATCTACTAAAAGTCTCATAAGATTATTTTATCGCGCTTAGAAATGGTTTTGCGCGATTTTGAAAACTATTGTTGTGATTTATTTATGGTGGATATATCATATAACATTACTTTTTATTTTAAACTACATGCAATTAAAATATCATTTATTCAGGTAACGCCAGAAAATAATTATTCTTAACACATTTAGTGTCAATTCTCAAATCAAGGGATCGAGAAGAACTGGCAATAAACTCTGACACTCTTTAAATAGTTTTCTTTTACAAAATATTTGTAGGCACCTGCAAAAAATGTTTCCTCATCGTATCGAACAGTTAATTATTATAATTAAATAAAAAATAATGTATAAATAAGACATTCAATAATTCGAATATACTTTTGAGTTTAAAAAATAAAACAATTTAGCTAATAGTAAAGCTTTGCACATATTTTACATCACGCTATTCGTGTTTGTATGTTAATTCACCCATAAAATACTTTGATTAATTAAAACATAACGAGAAAGTAATCACTTAATCCGCTTTTACTGAAAGCTTCGGAGTTAAATTTGTTAATTCATGCAATGTAGTATATGGTAGACATTTTCGTACTAAATTAGTTTTGGTAAGATATTTCGTTAGGCCTACTACTGCTGGCGTAGATGCCGAATGACAGTGTGCATTACGCGTGCGACACATTAGTCATCGAGGGTCTTAGAGTTAATCTTGATGAAAAAATAATTACGAGATTATTAAGCAATACCTACTTGGAACCGGAATGTTCTTTTTGCTACTCCTAAAAACATCGAAGAAAGAGGTTGTCAATTCGACCTGTGATTAAAAACGCTAAACATTTTATTTTAATAAACAACGCTAAATTAGGTATTATAATAAAAGGGGTAGGTGATATATTATGTTTATCATAATTTTTTCTTCCAATAAAAAAAACCTCTTCAGCGGTCTACATTTAAATGAAAGTTCGACATAATATATAGACATAAGACGCGTTGCGAAGTAATTCAATTAGATTTAATCTGAAATCGATTGAGGTTCAAACCACCATTTTCAGTTCGATTGTGAAGAGCCTTGCGTGTAAAACTGTTATCAATCGCGGCGAAGTATGTTAGTCCTGGTACATTCACGTCGTAAATTCAAAACTTCAATTGCATGCTCAAGTGGATTTAATGCAATGATACGTGCACACGACTGTACATTTATCTTTTGTATTTATGATATCGTATATGCGTTCTCTTATACGACTTACAATATTCAAATTAACCTGTATATATCGCTTGCCCCGTAGATTAAAATCGTAAACGCAAATTTTTTGAGAAAAATTAAAAGAAGGTAATGCTATTATTACTAGGATACTAAGTACATTACATATATAAATATGTATTATATATATTTATTTCTTTCCTATATCGATTTAAATATTGTTGTTATTCATTTAGTGTAAATAGTTAAAAAATTACTAAATGTATATTACAGTAATTAAGAAGAGCAAAAGCGTTCTACGATTGTTTCCCTACGTAACGTAATTACGGCCGACACAGTAACCGCACATTAAGATGGCATATTTTGATGAATGTCTAGAACGTATTAATATATTACCACTCTTTTCGTGGAAATTGTACGACCTTGGTGAAACTGAGATTTTATTTTATTACAACTCTTTAATTATTTTTAAACTGTCGCATCAGCTTTTATGATTATTTGGTAGAATTACAATTAAATCTAAAACTATCTTTATGGTTGTTGCGATCCATTTCAGGAAAGTAAAATTAAGTAAACGAGTATTACTAACATTTTGCACAAATTAATTTCCGTTAAATAAAGACATCCTCGTGTTTTTTTTATAGTAAAAATTCTAAAAAAAAACATTATAGTAGAACATCACCCAAGGAAGTCAAAAATGAGAAAACATTAAAACATTCGTAATAGTGGTTTACGATTTTGTTCCCTGGGGCAAGCGATATCATGACCACGAAATAAAAATACTTTTGTGTTATTTTGCATTGTTCTTCTTGTAGTACCATCCTTTTGAAGGCTGGCGATCATTATGGCTACATAAAGTGTAAATGTAATTATGTACATACATATATTTAATACACGCGTACTAAAATTGTTTACTAATAAAAGAAGCTGTGTATTTACATGCTCCAAGAGCCCGTTGCTCGTCTTAAATATAATATATATAATAGAATCTCTATACCTGCCGAGAAATTTGTGTGTCCAGGAAGGCTCTGGAATGGTTTAGACTCACAACCCGCATGGCAGTACTTAGACATATGCTTAATACCAGTCGATTTAAATATCATGCAGGACAACGTCTGTGATAATAAAAATAAAAACTCATACCCCAGGAACTCTAGGGACTATAGTATAGACAAGTGTACAGCTTAAGTAAAAAATATAAAGGCTACCAAAGTACATAAATGTCTAAAGTATACAATATTTAGTTCCTATTTATACTTAATATCTATTATAGAGCTAATAAAAATCAAAGTATTCGCGTTATAATGCCGGCGTCCCACTTAACGATACTTTGTGTTACGTAAATAAATTATTAATAAATGTAATAATAACTATTTTGTCCACGTTTAAGGTAGTTGATCGCCCCCCTTGGGATCACTCTTTACCATCCTATTAATGAATGCCACTTATAATTTTATTTTGCCTTAATGAAATTTAATAAAACACTATTTTGACCGGATTGAAGTTATGTATTATTATAAATTTACAACTATTTAACATAATTTTAAATTTATCCGACGTTTCGCGTGCTTTACAGCGTGCGTGGTCACGGTGACCACGTATGAAATATTGTGCTTAATTAATTCAAAACCTGTGCTAATTTTCCAGGTATTTAATAAAATTTACGTTATCACTCCAAAGTGAAATTATTCTTTCTATGGACACAATTTCCACATGCTTAGTACCTCAGAGTTTGATTCAAAGTCGACACTTAGCGATAAGTATGAGCCAGACCGCAATCAGCAACATGTGTAAGCTGCTTGTAAATCTACGTGTAAAGAAAACACAACATGAGGCATTCTGTGACCACTAAAGGGAATCAATCTTATTTATATTGCTTTCTAGTATTGTCTTTGATTAACATAACCTTTACACATTTAAAGCACCACGCACGCTGTAAAGCACGCGAAACGTCGGATAAATTTAAAATTATGTTAAATAATTGTAAATTTATAATAATTCATAACTTTAATCCGGTTAAAAAGTTTTTTATTTAAATATATTGCTTTCTGTGCAATTTTTTATGTTATAAAATTTTTAGGAGGATCTCGTCTCGATACGTGATTCAGATCACTGGACCCCCGGTTCAGCGTCAACTCACTCGACCCCAGTGCTAATAAAATTCCATACCCTCGATCCTGACTTTCAACCTGGCCCAATGGCAGCCAATAAGAGCTTTGGCAATATCGACCAACTGAGAACGAAGAGAGTCTCTCTGCCAAACGAGAAAGAATTTAAACATAAGGGAAGTTTAGATTTGCCTGGACGCGGTATTTTAAAAAGTTTTAACAATAAGTCCGATAATATGTTGTATAGAAGAAGTCCAAATGCCAGTACTAGGAGATTGGACAGCGTGGGCAGTCTCGACCACACAAAGTCCTCCAGCTTTGAATTAGGCTCCAGTATGGATATACTTCATCGTGAAGCTAGCGTGGATAGTGTTCGGTCCAGGTTTGATAGATTCTCAGTGTTTGGGGAAACTGATATATCGAAATGTGGTATTTCTGAAGATGATTTGGCTGCGAATCTCAATTCGAGAAGGAACACATGCCCCAACCCGTATCAGTACAGGTGAATAGTTTTTGAAATTTTTAAAAATAGCTCATGTTTTATATGTTCTATACTAAATTATGATCAGTGTTGGCCTAGTGACTTCAGCGTGCGACTCTCTTTTTTTTTTTTTTTTTTTAATAGAACGGGGGGCAAACGGGCAGGAGGCTGACCTGATGTTAAGTGATACCGCCGCCCATGGACACTCTCAATGCCAGAGGGCTCGCGAGTGCGTTTCCGGCCTTTTAAGAATTGGTACGCTCTTTTCTTGAAGGACCCTAAGTCGAATTGGTTCGGAAATACTTCAGTGGGCAGCTGATTCCACATAGTGGTGGTGCGCGGCAGAAACTGCCTTGAAAAAAATCTCATACCTGAGGTCGTAGATTCGATCCCTGGCTGTGCCAACCAATGACTGACAACTGACCAATGAACTTTCTTTCTTGTGCGCATTTAACATTTGCTCGAACGGTGAAGGAAAACATCGTGAGGAAATCGACATGCCTTAGACCCAAAAAGTAGACGGCGTGTGTTAGGCACTGGAGGCTGATCACCTACTTGCCTATTGGATTTAAAAATGACCATAAAACAGATTCAGAAATCTGAGGCTAAGACCTAAAGAGGTTGTAGCGCCACTGATTTATTTTTATTTTTTTATACAAATTATGATAGCTAGTAAGCTAATTTCAGATTTTTTAATAAAAGTAAATAAATATGTTTATTATGGAATATAAGATACAGGTATCACTTATTCCACGTCATTAAATTTTAATCGGTAGACATCCCTACTCATCGGCAAAGAAGACAGAGGGTGTAGGCCGAGAGAAAAAGCCGGCGTAAAAAACTCTCGGTACTTTTTAAAATAGCAAATCATCATACAAAATGACTATGTCAAACAATTAGAAGTAGCCTGTCTAGCACTAGTCCCAGGCCCTTTTATCACCAAGATAATCGATAACTTTATAGTAAGCCTTTTTACACACCTTTCTTTAATACATTTCTTAAATTTATTAGGCAGGTATAAAAGAGCCTCTGGGATTTTATTAAAGAAAAGTATCCCTTTTCCTAAAAAAGAATTACTAACTTTAGATAGTCTGGTACGGGGAAATTAGCCTGCGTTTGTTCCGAGTATTATGCGTATGTTCTATTTTAAGCTGTCTACACACCGAAGGCCGGCGGCCTTGGTTTTAACGATGTTGCCGGCGGCTTGCGCCCGCGCGATCTACCCCGCGGCACGCCCCTCTCCGCTCTTCACCACCGGTTGCCCACCGGCTTTTAAGACATAGTGACGTGTCAGTGTTTTTTATCGACTAAACATTATGGAATCCGTTAATGAAGTGAAGAGAAAAATAAAAAATTTAACAAGTCACTAGCAAGCACTTGGCAATCACTAATTGTGAACACTGCATGCCGCGACTGTCGTGCCGCCGGGAAAATTGTCAGGCTCGCCACTTCTAAAGCCGCCGGGTTCACCCGCCGCCGGCGGCTTCGGTGTGTAGACAGCTTAAGTAAACATCGGTGAATTAAACATTATAGCGAGGCACACAATTTTTCTTACATACATTTTGTACGCGTTTTAAACTTCAAAATAGTTCAAAATTTGACTAGATTCTTCAATATTTATATGTTCAACTATAATTAAAATAATCATTACGAAACATAGTCACATGTGAATATATTTATATCTATAAACAATATTTTATCATCCATTCCAGATTACAACCATCCCGTTTATCATCACGCACACCAAAACCAATTGCTGGACGGGTACGACCCATCCTTCGTGAAAGTTATGGTCCGCGCAGAGAGGGCTCCGCTCAAACGGACATGTCCGCCTTACCACCTCGATGGACCTCAGATGGATATCTTGCTTATAAGGTATTATTATGATACCTTATTCCCAGCTTCTTATTTTTGTTTTCTTCCTTAATTAAACATATCCGCATGTCCGCGAAAAATTTCAAATTTTGTTTCTACCCTCAAAATAATAAGAGCGCTAAGAAGTATGTGTGGTGTAACATTGCGTGATAGGATAAGTAATAGAATGTGATATCTTTAAAACCGCAGAAAAAATAAAATTTCAAATTTTGTTTCTACCCTAAGATAAGTAATAGTGATATACACGTGAACACTGAACAGTGTGGGTTATAGCAGGACGTAATGACGAGGGTATGAAAGGGAATGAATGCTTTAGTGGTTTGGACATGTGGAACGGATGAATAAGAAGCAGGAAGGAAGGAAGGTCTTTGATTTACTTATTTGGTGATTACGTAATTATTTACTTTTTTACACATAATACCCACACATTTTCTATGCTTGAAAACTAAATTCACTATCAAGCATTCCTACAAAATATTAATACGTTTATGTACTATTATTTTTGAGAGCTTCGCTTACTTTTGCTGACAAGAGGAAGGGGGGGCATAAATTGTAGTAAATCTGCTTACGTAATACTTGAACGGCCCCATATTTTTATTTATTTTGTTAGTTAGTAATAGTATAGAGCGTGCTGTGAGATTTTTCCTTTTTAGTTGACATAGTTAAAAATTTAAATGGCTTTTATTATAGTATAGGTTATTATTGACAATTACTTAGATGTCCCCTCCACCCTGTGTTGTGACAACTTTGCCCCAACGAGCCAGTCCCGCCCGTCGTCTCACGATACCAGAGAAAGCTCCTATCCAACGCCGTTCTGATGAAGCAAGGAGGGTTCTACTAAGCGACATTGGTAAGTTATTATATATATTTATTTTTTGTTCACGAACTGGTAATAATTATCAAATTATTATAGATATTTTCACCAAGCAGAAAAATGTTGGCCTAGTAGCTTAAATGTCTGTGCATGCGTTCGAATCACGGCTGTGCACCAATTGAATTTTCTTTTTATGTGCGCAAATACTGAGGAAACCATGTTTCAAACCCTAAAGACAGATACCCTAATTGTCTTTGTAATAAAAAATTTCGAAGACATGGATGCAATCTGAATCTAAGCCCCAAATTTGGGTTGTAGCGCCACTTGATTATTATTATTATTCCCACCAAGTGAGCACGAAAAAGCAGTTCCAAGTTCTGCGAGCCATGCTAACAAATCTTCATTGGAACCAAACACGAGTGTATGACGATGAATTATTGTACTTATCATCACCGGACGTCGAAGCAGAATACGAAATTCCACCCGTATCACCTCGACTGCCGTTCCACAACTGAGCGTTTTTAAGGCAGATTCTGTCGCGCACAACCACTATGTGGAACCAGCTGCCCACTGAAGTATTTTTGAACCGATTCGACATATCTTTCAAGAAAAGAGCATATCAATTTTTAAACAGCCGGCAACGCACTCGCGAGCCCTCTGGCATTCAGGTAGTCCATGGGCATGTTACTTCAAACATCAAATGAGCGTCCTACCCGTTTGCCCCCTGTTCTATAAATAATTTTATCAAAACTTATATTGAATCACATAAAAACAGAAATGACAAAAAACATTGGTCGTGGAAAATGAACCCATAAAATCAAGAAACATAAATACGCAACGCTCAAACGAAATCTAAATAATGTTTAATGTTTATAGAACTTTGTTTCTCATTATAAAAATAACGTATTTTATTTACATGAGAAACTTAATATGTTACACAAGTTACACGTCGCCACCAGCCGTCCCAATTTTAGTCTACTAGGCTCATTCTGAAATGTCTTTAATGCCCTTTTGAATTGATTAAACGCGCTAATATTACGAATTTTAGAAGGTAATTGATTAAATAATTGCACACCCTCATACTTAATAGACTTTTTCAAATAGTAGTTTGTAAAGCTAAAACCTTATATTATAGGATTCACATCAATGGTACCAGAATTGTCACGCTCTGCTGAACCATTGTGGACTCTACGAAGAGCCCAACAATCTTCAGATAACAGGTATTTTAGTAATTTCAAGACCAAGGTTTTTGGACCTAAGATCCATTCTAGAACGTGCCAGCGTACTTATTGTTTAATAAAAGATATAACAAAAATTCAAAATCATTTATTCATATAGGTGACATGTACACTTATGAACGTAAAAAAAAAATATACATTAAATCCTTCTAACTTTACATTTAGTGCTAGTTTCCAAATCAAGGGCGTAGAACGGAAGAGAAGAACTGGCAATAAACTCTCCGCCACTCTTTTTAATCGGCAAGTTTTTTGTTTTACACAATGTTTGTATGGAGCTGCAACCATTACACCATGTTCCACATGTAATCTGTTTTTATACAATTTTTTTTTTTTAATTTTAGGCTTGCGAAGATTGAGTTATGAATTTACTGTATACATACCTGTTATATTTAAATATTTAAACTATACTTAGATAACGCTAGGTAATATATTATTGGTTTTATTGTGTATTATGTGTTAGGTACACCCGTGGTTCGTACCGTTCGCCTAGTGCGAGTGTTGAACGAAGTTCAGAGTGGACTCCGCACCAGCGTCACACTTCACGAGGTATACTTTTTTTTTCAATTCTAGAAGGTTTAAATAAACATTTGAAAATGGAACAACAGAATCCGTCATTTTGATTGGTTGGACGTTGACCAATCACAATCAATTATTCGTTTTTTAAACCGGAAATTTCCAATTGGACACGACAAACATTTCGAAGTCTAATGTTTCGTATTCTAAAATCGGTATTACGGTCATACGCCTTCAAAGCTTCTTTTTCAAGGATTTTTTCAGTATCTTCGTGCCTTGATGCAACAATGGCAATAGTAGATACTAAATTCTAATTTTATTTTAATTTGACCAGGTGAGTGTATGTCCTGGCGCGGATCTCTACCGGATGTTCGGGATGACACAGATACTCTCCTGCGCGATACTGAGACATTCCTACGTCGCTCTATTGACAATTTGCGCTCTACGTCACTCGATCGTAAGTAGATGAGATTATTAAAAGAAAAATGTTACTTTAGTATCCAAATTTTCCTTGAATAGCGAGTTCAGATCTTTGACTTTTTTTTAAAAGTCTTCCTAATCTCTTAGATCCAACTTGGTCAAACATTTTTTCACTAAAAGAAAAATTAAAGGAAATTAAACTCAAAATATCTTTATTCATATAGGTAAACAAGTACACTTATGAACTTCAAAAAGAAGTTAAATTAATGATAAATTTAGTTTACTACCAGTTCGCAAGTCAGGGCGTAGAGCTGGTTAGAAGAACTGGCAAGAAACTTTCCGACACTCTTTTTAATCGCCAAGTATTGAGGTTAACCCAGTATCAAAATTCAAAATGGCGCCTCCAGTGCGAAATACTCGGCTCTGATTGGTCATAACTATATTAGGAATATATTATATTATCTTTTATTCGATAACGAACGTTGTTAAATTATTGACTTACTTCACCTAATGGCGGAGGGCGTCCACGGTGAGCCCCCTCGCGTTCCGTCTGAGCTTCGCATTTTACCAACCTCTCATGACTTTGGCATCGCTGTAATCTCTTGTTTTGCTATGACTTTTAACTTATGTTACATTAAACTAACACGAAAACGAAACGAAAACACGAAACTTGACTGATAAATACAGTGCTGTGTTATTATGAATTTGCAGTTGACGCACATTTTGAGAGAACTGGTCAGCCGTACATCCCCGGTGAGCCGAAGCAATTGCGCTTGGGGCATACTGTTAAACTCATAACTCCGCAAGGCAGATTGGCTGTAGGCAGAGTCAGGTACAGTTTTTCTCATTCTGCGATTTATATTCACAAAAATATGCAGCGGAGTGAAAATATCTTGACTTAGCAAAAATAAATCTGTGTAATTTTTTTTTCAAAGAACGTGTAATTCTATTACCCTTTTGTATATTGCGTATATTTAATTTTTTTTTTCAATTTTGTACAATAATAATAATTCAGTGTTACAAGCTAGCTAGAGACTTGGCCTTAGAATTTAATCAATTATTTTATTGACAAGTAGGTGATCAGCTTTCTGTGTCTGACACACGTCATTGATTTTGTCGTCGTTGTGTTTGAAACAAGCTGGTTTCCTCACGATGTTTCCTTACTAAGGAGCAAGTGAAAATTTCGCACATATTAAGAAAATCCCAATGTGACTTTTTGTTTATTAAGCTAACCACAACAGCTTTTTATTCGCAATTATTCCTTTAATTATTTCAGATACGTAGGCATAGCCGGTGGAACTGCCGCCAACAGCGGCATTGTTGTAGGCGCTGAATTCTCCTGTATGGAGTATCCGGGACTGCCCCGTAACGACGGTACATACCGGGGCAGACGATACTTCCTTACTCCACCTCAATATACCGCCGTTTTTGTGCCATTCTCTAAAATAGTAATGGCGTGGGCTAATTAAAATCATATTTGAATATATGGCATCAATTCCGGATCGAAGGACCATCACTTTTAGAATCCGAACAGGATTTTGTAAGTATGAAAATTTCATAATATATGTTTGAATTGGTATTTTAAAATCTCAGAAATTGACTCCCTTATAAAAAACTAAAGTGCTCATATTCGTCTGTCAAATCGTGTCAATCGTGTAAGACAAAGAGTGCTTTAAGTAATTAAAACTTATTTTCTATAAGTGGTACTTAAACTAGCGGACCCGACAGACGTTGTCCTGCATGATATTTCAAGTGATTAGGATATTAAACAAAGTATGAAAGTACCGACTGCTGCGCCATCTGACGGGCTGATTTGTGAATCTAAACCCATACGCATCAAAAAAGTTAATTCAAATCGGTCAAGCTGTGTAAGAGGAGTGCAGTTACATACACACGTACAGTAGAATTATATATATAAAGATAATGTAGTACATTATATAAAAAATCTTGAATGTATCACCTTTCTCAAATCTCTTGTAAATTTGTACATAGAAAGAAAAAGAGTATGTCTTCGATTCGGGAGTCAAAAAAGTCTTATTACTCGAAAACTTAAATATGCCGATTGCGTAAAAATATCGGTACTAATTTGACGTTGAGTCAAAATTTTAAGCGAAATATTGGAAATTAAAGTAATTTTAAGAACGAAAGATAATCTTAAGATCTCTAATAGATCGTATGTAAGCAAAAATCGCTCATCTTAGTACTAAGGCCTAATATCGGTATTTAAAGGTATTTGTAATATAAATTCTTATATTTGATTACTTTACAGATGTTTTGTGACTTTGACTAGGAGGTTTTCGGGTGTAGCTTTTGTCATGTTTAACAATATTTTAAAGGAACAAAGACTATACAAAATTAATTTAATTATGTCGCATTTTTTTTTAATAACACATTTGTGAATGTGTTATCTTTTCACGTAAATGTAGATTACTTAGATCCTTTAATTTCTGATAGCCTAGTACTTTCACAATGAAGAATTCATAAAAAAACATTTTTCAAAGACCAGCATAACTTTAGCATCGATTTTTGTCCTTTAACTAGTAAATGCCAGAAAAAGGAATTTTTGTACCAGTGGTACCAAATATTGCGACATCAGACATTGTAACAATATTGATATTGGGCACAAAAAGTCGTCTTGGCACTTGAATCGCAAGGCTGTAAAGGAATTGATCAATTCGCCTTGCTATTTTAATAGTCAAAGGTTTTCAAATAGGTGTTAATTTTATATCCGAATATCTCCTAGTCAACAAATCTAATTTTATATGAATTTTCGATGTATTTTCCGTGAGAATTCTAAAATAGTTACTTTGAGGTAACAATTTTCTTTTGAATCGTATTTCAGTAGAATGGAACATCAATAATGGTGTTACTAAGATTATTACACATTTGAATAAGGGAGCGTTCAAGTATTACGTCACGCAATTTTTGGAGATTATTGCCCCCCCATCCTCTTGTAATGCGCCGTAACGTTTTTCTGTACCCAAGTATAGTAAAACGTTTCGTGACCACCTAGTGACTCTTTATACCTAAAAGTTACCATGATGTGGTGTAAAGTACTGGAAAGTCGAAAAGAATATTAACAATAACGTGTAATTCAATCCCCGCCCCGAATTACGATGCGTTACGACGTTTTATTAAGATGTAACGAATTTGGGGGGGCATATAATACTTGAACGCCACCTAGCATTCAAATCAAAAATATTTTTATTTATCAATCGGTAAATCATTTATTTTGAACCGAAGGTAAGTAAGTAAACATACCAGATAAATCCCACGGCAACCATTTTTTACCTACATTTGGTAATTCAGATTTGTTAGTTCTACAGTTCTTACATAGATGGCGTATATCTTAATGGGGTAAGAAACTTCGCAATCTTCGGTGTAACAGAAATGTATGGGATTTGACATACTGCAGTCATTTTAAGCGCTAAATCTTGGCTCTGAATCTTAGCCCTAATGTCTGTAAATAAAGAACACTTACAGATACCGGCAAACATCTTGAACAAATGTCCTTGTGCATAAGCGATTTTTAGGTATCACTCAGAGTGACGTATCGATCGCGTAATTGGTAAATCAGTTGACGTTTGTGTACGAAGCGCAAACTTTCCCCCACTCCCTTTTTTAATGCTCAAGAAGTTTGCCGGTATCAGTACCTTACAATAAATTTACTTAAAAACAAGTCGATGTGTAATAATTGAAAATAAACTTACGGTGTTCAATGTTGATTGGCTAGTTGTACGCATTATGTGTGTAGTAATATATGCCTGGATATGGAACAGGCTATACAATGTTCATAACTTATAAGAATGATATTTAAAAAAAATTGATCTAAGCCGTGCTTCAAACATCTTTTTCTTCGTATTTATGGAATATGAAGGTAAAATAGATGTTCAAGAATATGTATTTAGGTGTAAAACGTTCTTTTGTGGTTGTATGCATTTATACCCAATTATATTATATATATAGTATGTACTATGTACCCCTTATATCTTTATAATAATGAGAAATGTGTACGTGTCTCGTTGTGCATATTATACTTTTATTGTTAATTTTTGTGAGACATAAATCATTTTTATGAATTGTCAAACGTCAAGCTTGACAGTTGACAGTGCTCAAGACGTTTTGTTTTACGCTAATCCATTTCCGGCGAAAAATTTATTAAAAGTTTTGTTAACACAAAATATTCTATTTTAATAACGTGTAGAGGTAAAATATAACGGTGTTGCAACTTAATATTGAGCAGTGTTATAAAAACCTTTCATTAGTTATGGGGAAAATATTTTCATTCAACATATACACAAAATTTAAAAGAGACTAAACTACAGGTTGTTTCAATAATATATTTTAAACATCAAATGTATGATATGTTTGTTATTAATATAACGTTTATGGATTATTTTTTTCTGCCTTCATCTCAAAAGTAATTGTGTAAGCGAGGAAATATTTACATATTTTAAACATTTAAGTTTTGGTGCTCAATCTTTCTCTTGTTGTAAAGCGTACATACGTTAATCTAGTCATTATTTTCATATATTAAAAATATAATTATTAGAAAATGTGTCTTACTAAATATTAGGAAACGCGGCGAGTATGGAGGTAATAGCAAATATTAAAACGCTTATTAAAGACGTTTTTAATTAATACCTTTAGTCAGAAAAGTGGTTTAATTATTAATAAAAAAAGGGTGCGTGTACTTATGTACGCGCGTAAGAAGTTATACTTCTTTGGCATTATTAAAAATAGTTTTTGATTGCATGCAAATAATTAATTACAATCAAATAATCAAAGACTGCAAAAGGATTCATTATAGTCAATAAAGTTCAGTTTACATTTGAAAAATTAAATAAATAAATATTTATTATTATGTATTCTCTTACATTAAGTGTAACATAAATTCTATTATTATTCGAATGTCGTTTTTAAATTATGTCCAATGCCGTAGCATCTTCCGTGGGCAACTTCATTATGTTCATTTTGTGTCACGGTGCGCGCGCATCGTAAAATTTCACTCTTATCAATTTTTCATAACGCGCCTAAAGAAGTATAACTTCAAAAATAGTTAATACGAACAAAGCTGTCAAATAAAACACAATTTTTCAAAATTTATCAGTTTATTCGTTTATCAAAACTTCATTGACACCGACATATAAGTAAGTGCGTTCATTATTTTGACAGAATTTTTTACAAATCATTAATTTAGAAGTATAACCACTACTAAACATTTAAATAACGACTTGAGAATCATCTAAATATTTAGAGATACTCTAATATTTGCATTAACCTGGGATATAGGTTTAAAAGCTTGAGGAGGGTTGTAAGCACAAATACACTTTAGGTTTATAGATGGTTATTGTGACTGATTCTGTATTCAATCAGTATTATTTTAGGACCAAAAACTTATTTAAATGGTTGTTGTACAAAATATATTTTTTTTAGTTTTTATGCTCACAACGATTTTTAGTTCGTTGTTTTGCGTATTCATCAAGATATTTAAAGAATTGTGCCAAAATTACTGGCGTTTTTCATGTAGTTATTTATTTTTTGTTATCTGTATATTTTTTTAAGATTTACCAGATGTAATCCCAATGCATTTAAATTGTGTGTGTAGATATGTAGTCTTAGTATTTCTCACCTACTACTACTCTATTATGGAAATAAAAAATCTATTTTAAATATTGTATGAAATGTATGTTAACTGTATAATAATAAATGGGAAAAATAAATGTGTTTTATTAGCTCAGGATTTAAAATAAACAACAGGATATGTAACAAATTTTTAATAACAATAACAATAAAACCAACAACGTAACAAATAGCGAACGATAGTTCATAGTGATAGAAAAAGTGTAGAAAAGTAGAAAAGCATGCTTAAGAAATAAAACAGCAAAGAAAGGAAGGGCAAGCAAGAAGATAAGAGAGAAATAGGTAGGAAAAGCAAGAAGATAAGAGAGAAATAGGTAGGAAAAGAAATTAAGAAAATAAAATATTAAGTAATTAATACATACATAATTTTGATATAGATAAAGGTAATCTCATATGGAAGTATATATAGGAAAGTATAGTTTAAAGCACAGACATAAAGTAAAGGTGTTTTTAAGTTTGAAGAATAAAAAAGAAATTAAATTGGAACAAGAAACAATACAGAGAATAGAAGTAAAGGATTGTAAAACTTTGTAACGATAGCTTTAAAACATGGCGGATATAATTGAAATAAGAAAAATAAAGAAACAATAAGTCAAGAGTGGTAAATATGAAAGAAAGAATATGTGGAGATTTTAATATGTATTCATTTATATACTTGAAATATAAGTTTTGGTGATAAAAATAATAAGAAAGTAATTTTGGAAAGAATGTAATACAGTGTGGTAGTAAATGAATGAAAGAAAGAAAACAATGCAAAGAACTAATCGATAAATATGATATGTAGTAAGAAATAGAAAATGGTTTGTGACTTATGGTAGAAAAGAGTACAAGAGTGAAATGAAATAATGGGCTAAAAAATAAATTAAATTTAACAGCTCCTAAATGATAAGATAGAAGATGAGATAAAAAACAAGTTGAGCAGAATGGAAAATACAATTTTAAAGTAGAGTATATAAATATAAGACAGAAAAAAGAAGAAAGAAAAAGATACTGAAAGTAAAATTTAATGCTGTCAACTATTATAGATTTACTAAAAGATTATATAGATAGAAGGAAAAAGAAAGAAAAGTAGAGAGAATTGTTAAGAAAAAGAAGAAGATACAAGAAATGAAATAAAAACAAAGTAGATAGATTTAAGAAAAAGATGGAAAGTTTGAATATATAATAAGAAATACTCGAGTTGTATTTACGTAAGAAAGGTTTATAGATAACATGATAAATCACAGTTTTGTTTAAGCACGTTATTGTATTTATTAAAAATGAATATAGGTATAAAAATTATGAATTATATGATAGTATGAAAATAAGAGAAGTTTCGTGAAACACAGTAAATAAATGATCAAGAAAAGAGTAAAGAGATAGATGTATGTAAAAATGTGTTCAAAAACAGGTAATGATGAGATAAAAATATTAAAAATATATAAATATAATGAGATTGAATTATACAGATCGTGGAAAAATAAGAGAAGTTTCGATCAAGAAAAGAGTAAATGATGTATGAAAAAATGTGTTCACAAACAGGTAATGATAATAAAATAAAAATATATAAATAATGAGATTGGATTATACAGATCGTGGAAAAATAAGAGAAGTTTCGATCAAGAAAAGAGTAAATGATGTATGAAAAAATTTGTTCAAAAACAGGTAATGATGAAATATAAATATAATGATAATGAATTATATAGATCGTGAGAAAATAAGAGAAGTTTAGATCAAGAAAAGATATAGGTAAAAATAAAGATAGATAAGTAAAATCAAATAAATGAACAAACAGAAAATATGAATAGAGGAAAGGAAGGAGAATGTGAATAGAGTATAGAAATAGGAAATATACGTATAAATTGATAGTTCATACTAGAAAAAATATTACTTTTATGCTAGTATAATAGATATAGAAAAAAGTTATAAGGTTGAAAGTGAGTTGAAGGAAGTACATAATATAGAAAAATCATATATAAAAATTATAATAATGAAGAGAAATGTTTAGGAAGTAGTATTTATGATGATAGATTTATGAGGAAAATGAAATGAAACAGGTAAACAGAGAAACTAATAGATGATTGGAGACATAAAGCGTGATGCGTTAATTTGAATACTACTAGTTATATAGAAAGTGTGTACAGATAAAAAATAGAGAGAAAAAGCTTGATAGGAAGATAGAAATGAAACTTTAGACACAATAGGGCTTGCATGACCAGATATCTCATATACTAGTCTACTCAATAGAAGGCGCAGCTTAAACTGCCGCGGGTAGTCTTTGTAAATGTTTAATAAATAGTTGCCATTCATAAAATCTTCGACCTCAGCAATTGCTTGTCTAGATTACTAAAGACACACCTAAATTCAGCCGTAGATATTTCTTAAATATAAATCAAGTAAGTGTCTAGTCTAAAAAAATAAGTGGAAATAGATTAAGATATACACGTAGATAAGTATAGAAAGTAATGAAAGGAAATAAGTGCGATAAGGAAGTGATAGAAAGAAAGAAGCATGTCTATAGAAATGAAAAACAGAAACAAGATTATAGATAACGTAGAACAAACGAAGAACAAGGAAGAAAGGAAGCATGAAATATAGAACAAGAAGTAAAGTATTTAAGCAAGTAAGAAGAAGCAAGAAAAGTAATACGATATACAATACTGCATCCTGATAGATGCATTATTTAAGCAGATAGAGTGTTAAAGTGAACTATCGTAGCGCTTATCACAGTTTACTTTGCATTATGAATCTATCTAACTATCTCTGAATGCGGAATTAACCGTCTAAAACAAATGTGCGGTAATTCTGCAATGTCAATCTTTGGTTATATACCTAACTTGGCAAGATTGTCTAATACTGATTGGATAAGTCATTAAAGACTCTAATGTTTATACGATTCTTGGTTGTTGAGTGGATAGTCCGCATACCATCCAAAGGCTCCGTTATCTCCAGTTTGAGCCCCAAAGTCAACATATTCTCCGAAATCTGCAGGTCTTTCTGCATACTGTACTAAAGGTTCAGCTCTATTCTCTTGCTGCTGTATTCTTGGGGCTTGTGGTGGTGGGGGAGGTGCGAGAGCTACGCCTGAAAAAGGTAATACATTTCTAAAGCTGTTTTGTTTTCAACAATTAAAGACGCAATCTATTGTACGTGTAAAGCGATTAATTGGAATTCAGCGGCGTCTATAAATCTTGGACTTGACCTCAGATTCCTGGACCTGTTTACCTAGATAATTGTTTTTTTATAGTAAAGCCAATGAAGCTCATTCATTATATAATATAGTTATATTAACATATCCATTGGATAGAAACCAATTCAGGCAATCATTGGAAACCATAACCTTTATAGGCCCTGTTCGTACGCTTTCATTACGTTACGATTACGCATGACATAATACGGGTAATTTCTTGTACCATACATGATATAAGTTATCGAAAGTACCGCTCACTAGACCTTATATAATGGACAATAGAGGAAAGTGATTTTGAATGCCATTCAAAGTGAAACATGTTACGTTTAAATAGAAAGTGATCCTTTGTAACTTTCACTTGAGGTCGCAATGTTGAGGTCGATTTACCACGCGATTGTACAATACACAAGTATTTTAATATTTAAGTCCTGTCTGTGGTAGTTATTGAGCATAATGTGTACATAATAACAGAAGGACATTAGGGGAATTGCGACTTGATAATATGTTGGTGTTATAAAGTAATCTTATGGGGGTCTTCGTATTTTCATTATTACTTTCAATTATTTTTTAAAGATATTTTTTTGTCTACAATAATATTTTACAGTTAATCATAAAATTAAACTCGGTATAAATAAATCGTTAAGGGCAGAGCTTAACAAAATATTTAATAAAATTTTAAACAATACTTACTTGGTTGGTTATACTGTTCCAACGGTACAGGCTGGTAATCATCTTGGTAAGCAGCTTGTGGAAGCGAAGGTGGTTCCAGAGTCTGTCTTGGCACCCGACGAGCGCGGAGAGCGGTCAGATCCAGAAAGGCTATCTGATCTGATGGTACCGCTATGTAGGAAGGAAGGGCTGAAGCTGCACCAAGTACTGCCGTAAAGATGAACAGGTTCTGTTGATAACGGAGTTGGTTAAAGTGGTTCTTAAATATAACCTATTAGAAAATGTATTAAAAATATCACATAATTCTACTTATTTCAAACAGATTCGTAACTTTCGAAATTTTCAAGTATAGGTGTCAATTGATTCAAATTTGCAGCGAAAAGGTTCTAAAGGATTTGTAATAATTTTTATTTATTATTATTTGCGTTTATTTTTAAAGTAGATTTTCATAGTTCCCAATATATTAAGAAACTAAATGCTGCTGTAGTCTGTGGTGCATTCGTGCTTAATCGAATGCAACCTACTTAAGTTCCATTGCACAAGCAGCATTGAAGTATTTCTTGCACGTACAGAACGTGCCGAAATTAATGAGTGTAACTACAATACGTCAGAAATAGATAACGTTGTGACGGATATGTCGCAACAAATACCGGTAATGTTTAAGCGAAAGTAACTTACGTGCCTGAACCGAACGTTTTGTAATTATCGATAGTTCTCTTAAAAACCTATGGTTTTTGGGATCGCGCTGATAGCTGACCGCTATGATAGCGGTACGTGTAATGTACCGGTGCTGTTGCTTTAAAGATAAATGCAGATTTTGTTGCAAGACTTAATATGATTACATTTATCTTATAGACATCTGTTTTTTAAATAACCGTTAAATAGTTAGGTGTATCAATAATATTACTAGACTATACTTCTTGCTTTATTGTTAGAAAACCCCATTTATTTTGGTATGTCGTATGCATTGCTATTATATAAAGAATATTCAGTTGGTACCGTGTAGTGCGCTTTTGTTTACATATCGTCACTATTATCGAAAGTTTTGCGACTCTATATTGTCACTAGTTTCCGATACGAAGTTGGCAAAGTTACGTGTAAATTGACCTTAATTGCGCTCTTATTTCAATAAAATAAAATACTAAAGCAGTCTTTACTCTCTTTTTTTAAATCTACGTCTTAAAACGGTGCAACAACAGTGATTTTTTAAATGGATAAGAATACATTCTCATATTATAAATATTAATAATTATGTTCATATATTTAACTTTATTTGCAAAATTCGGACTATCAAAAAATCTGTGTGTAATCGTTGATTAAGATAATACGTATTTTCGTGAGAAAATTCAAAGTATGTCAAGTAAAGTTAAGATGTAGTAAGTCTCGTCACGGACAGTGCGTTTGCGCAACTTATGTAATTGGAGTGCGCTGGCGACTGACCGCGGAATATATTGTTTCAAATTCCCAAAGTTTAGTTGATGCTTTTATAACGATAGTCACGGATTAACGCAACAATTTCGAATCGTTTCTATTTTATGTTTAAGACAAATCAGATTTTGGTCAGCAACCGGCAATGATTATATTTTTGCCTGAAATCGACTCTAGGACTATACGCCAGGCTGGCACGCAAATTACATACATTTCCCTCTCACAGTTCTGAGATTTTGGAACATGGGCACACTCAACGTCATTAATTTAAAGCATGTAGAAGTCTTATTTTGTTTAAATGTGTTTAACCACCCAGAAACGTCAAAAATCGTTGCTACAAAGTTCTTAAAAAGGTAACATTCGAGACTGTAATATTAAGAATATGATTAATAAAATTAATGGAGAGTAAAAGGACAGCGCCCACCTCTTGGCCCTTAAACGCCTCCGCAATTCGAAACAACTTTCAAATTGGCCCCAAGAATGTATCAACGTTAACAAATTAATATTTCGCATTAATTAATCTAATTAAAATAATGACGTTAGAAATTAAAACAAAATGAGAGACCCGAAGGCTGAAAATTTGCGTTCAGGAGTATAATTGATATTCACGAGGTGGGGGAAGGTTTCCAACAAGACAAGTTGAGGATCATTGTGGTGGAGGTGAGGACATAATCGAATTATTAAAGGCTGTCCAGTTGTTTATTTCATTATTAAACCGACGGTTTTCAACAAAATTAAATAAACGAATCAATAAATTAGGTTTATTCCTCGACAATTGAATACTGTTTTAATAAATTCTGGTTGTAATAATCGTAAATGTCATTAAGGTCATTTTAACGCCCTTCACAAACTGGATTCTGTACAAATGAAAACACGATAATAAGAGCGATTTTGTAACGAGGCCTTGATTTGGTGTGGCGACGGAAATATTTGCTTTGTTTTCTTACTACCTTTTACTCGCTGAAGGTGAACGAGTGGGCGTTGGCTGTTATACTTATTACTTCCTGTACTAATAACAAAAAAGGTTTTAATGTCAGCCAGTATAGCATAGACTTCGTTCAGGGTTATAATGATATATCGATATATCCGTTATCAATATCTGAGTGTCACACTTAGGGTTATTCACAGTCGAGACTTAGCAATAAGTATGACTAACGATTGTCATAAACTTACTATTTAACAGTATTTTGACACACGCGAGTCAAAGTGAGCGTCTCGTCATAGCGGCGAATTGCGATTTTTCCGACTTAATATGGCGTTTATTAAGCAATTATTAAACTCCGTTACTTATAAACGTGCCTTAAATAGCTATTAAGTTTGTGTCTTTAAGACTTTTACTTTCAAAATACATAATCTTAACAAAAGGCGGCATATAATGTTATGAACACAAATATATATTTGACTTTTTACTAATCAAAATTAATAATCAAAATAAGCCATAACTTACTACTTAAAATATGAAGTTTCAATCTCAGATAGTAATAAAGTTTACTCCTTAAATTGTAGTAAACTGACAGTACCTACAATTCACTTTCTAAATTAAGCAGCGTACAAACTCAAAAACGTAAATAACCATGAAGTAACGGTCAAGTTATATAATATCTTTTCGCTTTTACTAATGAGTAATTGAAAGTTTTTTGCAGTTCTATTTATAGCCGAATCCGAAATTGACGATTTCCTTGTACCACGGAACTATGCAGGTATACCTACTGGATACATTTAGTATACTTTAAAGTATTCCGGATAAATGTAATAAAAAAAATGTACTATAAACTTCAAATAGCTAAGCAGTGTTATTTAGTTCTTTTCGGTCATCCGCATTTTTCAAATAAAAAAATACTTAAAGTACGTTAATGAATCTAACAATTAAACATTGAATTCGCATGTACGCGGAGAAGTTTTTTAGAATAAATTAGGTTCAAATTATAATAGATATGCATTAAACACAACAAATCAATGAAGTGTATTATAATTGCAAAATATCCATTTACAATACAATACAATTTTGCATTAAATTTCTATTAACCTCGAAGTAAAGAGTACAAGGGCTTTTGTTGAACAGGTTTTCATAATTTCATGCAATTTTCCGCCAATATGGCGTAATTAATTCAATGCTAAATATGTGATTTCTAACTGCGTTTAACGATGTACTAATGTTTGGTACATTTTACAGGGTCAATATATATTGTTACCGCATTTCAGTAAGAAATCTTTATTATAGAAAACGTTTTACGAGTTCTTTAATTGATAAGTCGAAATTATTTTTTAGCTGAGATGAATATTATTGGCGTTAATATTTATGAAAAAATTACGTTTCGTAATTATAAGTCAAAATTGGTCGACGGCCTTGCAATTAAAATGTTACACTCTATAAATTATTTATTACAAAGGTGAATTATTTCCGTATAATATTGAGTGTAAGATACCGATACGTTAAAAAGCCGTTAGACGTTGTAATTTTGTGTTGTAAATTGTATTAAAAAAATCGAAATAAAGCACGTAAACCCCGTTTTAACTAAGGTACTCTGACTCTTTGTATCACATCGTTAATACAATTAGATAGAAAGAGACAAATGAGAACTCTAGTTAAAAGATTCTACTAAAGTAGTCTACTTTAGTTTGTATGAATGAACACAAATAAGGCCTGAATATAACAAAAGTTATATTTGGATTTTCTTGATGACCGAATATTCCCTCGTCCGATATGGAAAATATATAAAAAATCTTAATAACTAAAGAGATAGAAAAAGCACAAGAAAGAAGTATATACATACGTATCTAAGTAATACTTATAAAAGAAGAGAAGAAAGAAATAGCACAGAAAACACAGCACAAGAAACACACGGAATTCAATGGAGTTTTCACGATTTTTAAACAAGATATTGTAAAAAATCCATTAAATTCAAACACATTGATAATCACTATAACTGACCATGGTGTATGGCGTGACAAGCGGCGTCCGAGGGGATTTCTCGACTGCGCCGGCGCAGCGCAGCACAATCTTATATCAACCTCTGGCCAACCAAGTTTCACTTTCTCTTGACTCGACTGATCTACTTATTGTACCTTTAATCGTACAGACACCACCCAGGATTACATTAACGAACGTATATTCATTGTGTTCTGATTATTAGTGGTTAAATAGAACAATATAAAAACATACATATATAAAAAAATATATGTGAAACATTTGTAGTTTATTTATGGTTTTTACATAATTAGCTCCAAAATTATTTTTATATTATTAAGTCAGACGAAATTAGCTTAAATTTGTTTTAGGGGGTCAAATACGGTGATTATACCTTCTTAACTTCGCAATCAATGTAGTTCATGAAATAGGCCGCCGTAAAGTTAACAATAGAACCTTCGGCTTGGCAATAGGCCGTGGGTTCAGAAAATTGAAAGTGCCCTTATACCACATAAGCTCCGGTATCATTATCAAATACTTACACAATAATTAATATTATATATTCACAGATAATAAAGCCGCATACATATGATTTGATCAAAATTGATAGGTTTCTAATAAAATTCATTAGAGCGACATTTGTTTTTGCATTGGAATTTAAACGATCAGTTCGATCATAGACCTTCTATAACAGAGTATGGAGACGAAGAGAATTGATGCTCATTGCTCTTTTATTGGCGCTAGACAAAAGGGCATAAAACGTCGTTATTGGTGATCCATGAATACCAAAGTTAATGAGAGTCAATTTTGTCAAAGAGCAAGTTACGGGCATACCAGAAGAATTCTTCAAATATTACAGATGTCAATGAAATCCTTTGATGAGTTCATACGAGATAAAATAAAAAAGCAGGAGAGTGTTACGTCGTACGTCTACTCGCAAGCCGCGCCAACCATTTGAATGAAAATTTCTGTACTTTGGGGATCGAGCAAATGTATGCGAATGCTGCGTTCGGGGTGACGTCATCAGGTTTTTCCGTTCTTAAAACAACGAGAAATTCGAACCAACGTCAGGTTTTTCTGTCAAAAAGTAAGAACGGTGTGCGCCTTGTCAACATTTGTATACGCGGACCATTCAGTTTCGTTGAAACCTTAACCTGTCGGAATCGTGTATGCGCCCGGCATAATACGCACAATGCTGAGGTACGTGACTGAATAATTTATTGTGAAAGGTCAGAAGTATACCACCAGGAAACAGTAAATAAAGCTTGCGATCCCCGCAAGTATTCTATCAAAAATAATTGCACAGAATAAAATAAAACATACACGTCGAAATGTAAAACCTCTTTCAAGTTTTTGTTGAAGTTGTTTTTTAAGTTATTTTTGAAAAGTTGAGCGGACTGAGTTTGAATTGTATATTACATTTGCTTACAGCTGCTAAAATTATATCGTTTGTAACCTAGTTTTATAAATTGGGGTTTATGTATCGCTTATTGGTTTGTAAGTCTTGTATGAAAGTCATATAAAGCAGTTCAGCGGTATTTGAGTATCGTACTTACAAGGGTATTCAAATTAAAAATCTTAATTATCAACTAAATCAGTTATTAAGTTGTCTCTTACTAACTGAGCGATAACTAAATTGGTAAAAGACGAATGAATCCTACATTAATAAGACTTCTTATTTTATTACTAATATTAAAATAAGAAGGTGTTTACTGTTGACAAGCTTAACTTATTAATATAACTTGAATTAAATTAATTGATCTCTTTTCAAATTAATGTACCTACTTTAAGTAAACTTTGATTTTTTTTATTCAAGGTCGTAGCCGAGTTCCTTTTGACATTCACTTAACGCTTAAATGTTTTGCGAAAAGAATTTTCATATTATCCGAATATGGTCTATATAAAACATTTAACAATTGATTTTGAATAAAATACTGTTTGACCTGAAGGTTAATTACCCATATTTTATAAGTTTATCTATCAGAAAGTTTATAAATAAAAACTTAAAAAAAAAAAGAAATTTCTTATAACGTATACAGTAGGTAAGTGTAGGTATATTATGTATCTGTATAACTTAGTTTATCATTTTCTACGAAAGTAAATTATTTATTTATAGTCTGTATTCAGACAAATTAAATGAATGAGAAATGTTTGCATAAATTAATGAGTTTCGACGTTATAAATTTGCCATTTCTTCATGCGTCCATTTACCATTCATGACAAAGTTCTCTACCATCTTCATCTATTCCACCCTGTCTCGTGTTTTACGACACCACTCGCTGGCCGTTTCTTTAATCTGTTCTCTTATTAACACTTCTTTTTATGTATGTGGCTTACTTGACTTAATGTCCTATAACCCCTAGTTGGGGCAGAAAGCGTCCACAGTGAGTCTCCATCGCGTTCGGTCTTGAGCCTCGCATTTTACCTCGCTCTTTTTCCAAGTCTTCCCGGCTCTCTTTGCCTCGTCTGCGACTGTACGGCGCCAGGTATGTGGGGTACTACTAATACTAATATATAACGTTTTTTCGCTTCCCTTTCTATAAATCTTATTATTTCCGCGGTCTGAAACAAATACCAACGAACAAAATATACAAAACGTGTCGCGTTCAGATAAATGTATTCATGGTATTTAGTAACGATTATTTTTTCTTAAACCGCAAGTGTTTTCCAAGTTACCGCATATTGCAACTTCCGCAATTATTTATTTTATTCAATGGTGTTGCTATTACATAATAATTGTCGCAATCAACGGAGCAGATAATTAAAAAAACTCACAAGCAAGTTTACTAAGAAATGAAAGTGATTACCTTCAACGCTTTAAATCTAAATTAATCTAGTTTCAATTACTGTTTCATTAATGTTGATGTCATTATTTTATCATAAATATTTGGTATGTTCTAAATCTATTGACGTCTAAAATATCTACTTGAGTTAAAACATGTCAGAATTAATAGAAAAATCTATATATATAAAAATGAAACCCGTTTTCCGTTGTCACGACGTAACGTCATGAAAACGGCTTGACAGATTTTTCTGATTCTTTTTTTATAATATTCCTTGAAGTACGAGGATGGTTCTTACGGAGAGAAAATTTAAAAAAATTGAGTGAAAAAGTCTAAAAACTACACTTTTCTATATTCCCATACAAAATATTAGTAATAATACTTAAAAGTCAATTTGAACTTTAATACCATATCATAAAGTTCAAGTGTAATGTATTTGTTGTCTTATCAACTTTCTTTTTTTTTATCTTACTAGCCAGACCGGTGTCCCGAATAGCAGAATAAGTATTTAAAAAAAATAAAGAATCGACTGTTAGGCGGTACGATGTTCGCCAGGCCAGCTAGTATTTAATAAATGTAATATACATTTATTAATTACATATTATATGCAAATATTTTGAATAGCCTTTAAAACTATTCAGTATCACAACTTGTGGTGTGTTTTGCTTTTCATGGCCTAAGGGCTCGCAGCTACGGATATTTTCCTTTGTCCCCATGGTTATTCTTGTACGTGCCCAGGCTGGATTGAAAATCGGTAGCCCCTTCTAGAGTGGGCGTTAGACCTTACTGGGGCAGTCACAGATCGAACCCAATCTGAGACCGTTCTAAGTATATAGTCCGTCATTACAAATTATGTATTTACCTCATATATATAAGTAGAAATAATTAGCCTAATTTGAAGTACTAAAATGGTGTGGATTTCCAAAGTCGCTTTCGCAAATACAAGCTATACTGTACTTGATGAACAAGCCCAATGTTACTAGATCTAGTTTAGTAATTGTGAAAGTCTAGAGTAACTCAGATCACTGGGTTTCTGTTTCACAGTAAAGATATTAACTAAATCTTTATTGAGGTTTATGTTGTATTAATTCATAAAATAAAAATGTGTTTATTCATTATAATTATGCATTACATGTATAAGATTTGGTGGTTGCCAAATCTGTTTACTGGTTAGTAAGAAATGCCTGTGTCAGCCGTCAGGGTTCCCAGCTCTTTCATAAAAAACTTAATTCTATTACAAATTTAATATATTAAAGATATACTCGTAAATATATTTTTGAATTAAAATTTTGATTTTTAAAAACTGTTTTCAACGAATTTTTAATATCTTTGTTTCTAAGATGCATTCTCTATTTCATTCTCTTAGACACTTAGATGTAGCGTAGTTTAAGAAGTTGTCATTAATTGAGTACCTACATAATTAATTGGCCTAAATAAATAAACAAAATACATAATTTGTGAACATATATTGATAATAGTATTGATAATTTAAAATAAAATTGAATTCATTCTTTGGTTAGTCATAGACAAGAAAACCACTTTGAATATAATTTTTACGCTCTTGTAAGCGTAGGAACTTCGTGTGAATCCATTTACCTAACGACTAAGTGAACGTATTCAAATTTAAAAAAATTGTGGTAATTAAATATCTAATTAGACTAGAATAATCTTTAGAAATGCCTCAGCTTTGTGTATTGTGAAAAATAATGAAAATAATGATAATATTACGCGTAAAGTAAAACTGGAATCAACAAAGGATTTTCGTAGTTTTTTTATTGACGTCTTTTCTAGTTTAACGGACATCACAGTCGAAACAGATATAATTGTTATTTTAAATTATTTAACTCTAGCCGTCAGTCGCGGCTTCGCACGGCTGAAGATGATTATATATGTAATAAAGATATGGTATCTCGGACTTATATTTATGTTTTCTATAAAACATCACTTTGCTCTACTGTCAATAGTCATCGCAGCGTACGCGATATAAATATCAAATTGTTATTTTTTGCACAGTTTGGGTGTTAGTTTGACATTATAGAAGTTTTCATAGGGATTCCTAACTTATTGAATATATGCCTATGTTCATCAGGACAATGCAGGAATTTAATGGTGAAATAATGATTCAAATACGTTCGATAGTTTTAATGCCCATTCAATGCAAACAAACAATCAAATCTTTATAATATTTGTGTTAAAGTTATTCTATTTACAAACAAATACATGATATTTATCAAAATCACATTTCATCTCTCATATATTTAGTACCTACGTACGACATATGTTTGAATACATAATGAATATTTAAGTTTACAGAAGCGTAAACAGATAAAACATGAATAATGAGAAAAAAGAAAGCAAACGAAACTTCGTAACCGGAAATGATTGCTATTAGTAACAACTGTTTACAGCTGTTACGGTTACAATAAGTTTTTATTGCAAAAGTTTATAATTTCGACTTTTACTTACAAATATTATATTTAAATTAACCGAATCAAACAATTTACTCACAAATTATGATCCGGACGCGACGTTTCGTATTCTTTAAAGAAATTTAGATTTTTCAAATAATATTCTGATAAAAAATACAGTGTAAACTGTTTATAACGAATTTCAATGAACGGAGCATTTCTTTTCGTTATATAGAGTGTTCGTTATAAGGAATGAAGAGAAAAAAAAGATAATTTACCCATTAAAACAATTTCTAATTTTATTTCTATCAATAGGTAAATTATTCTATACTCATAT